TTCGCCGATTAGAAGATATTAAAACCAAGCACGCAAGATATATAACATCTTTAAATTTCTTGAAGAGATGCAGAGACCATAATCTCATTCCGACGTGTGCCAAAATATCAACAAGATGCAGGTGTGTACAAGCTAGATTGTGAATGTGGTCTCTCTTACATAGGTCAAACAAAGAGATCTATAAAAACCCGCGTGAAGGAACATATAGCTGATGTGAAGCACCGACGCTCCGGGAAGTCTGCAGTCTGCGAACATGTTCAAGATCGTCCCCACCATTACATTAGATTTGATAAACCACAAATTCTCGCAAAAGAACACCGATTCCTACCAAGGATGATACGCGAGGCTATTGAAATTAAAAACATCCAAATTTCAATAGAGAAGATGGTTGGGTGCTACCATCTGCTTGGGATCCTATAATTAACAAAATTAAACCCAAACCCAAGCATACCACTGCAAGACTTCATGATACTATAAGCTCGTTTTGCGTAAATCGGACCAAAAATTAATATTAAAAAAAAACTGAAGGTAGCCGGACTAACTATGACATTGGGACGTCAAACATCTCAGTCCCCCCCATGACCATGGGGAACCGAAACGTCGGGATAATAATAAAAAAAAATTAAAGTAATTAAACGCGATAAAATCCGTAAATAATAGTTTTATTCAATTAACAATTTAATTGGTGCCGGCGGGGATCGAACCCGGGTCGCGTGCTGTGAAATTTACAGCTTGCGCTAAATATCTGAGCTACCACGGCTTAATCATATACACACGTAAGAAAATAACAGAAAGAAAAGTAATTTTGTCAATAGAATAAACACTTACATCCATGGCCTTTGATGCGTTGAAGTAACACAAATGTAGTATTGATAGATCCACTGCGGTCAAACGACCATACACTAACTCCATGACTGCAGCTGCTCGGTCTTATATAGTACCAGTAAGTAATAATTCTAATCTAAAAAATTTCTGCAGTGGAACTGATAGTACGAGTAACTTTAAGCGTCAACAGGCTTATCTCACATTCTTTTGCTTATCTCTACATTCAGTGTATTGATGACTCAAATACGATTTGTATAACACAAAAGAATGCAATTTAATATTTAGAAATCACTATAATTGATCATTCCTATGTTAGTCATTGAGTAGATTGGTACTAATAATCTACTAATAGCAGTAATATCATGGATATACTAGATGTACAACAACATCTGAAAGAGATTCACCCCAGTTTAGAAAATAATGTTTATGCTGCTAATAGACTGCCCATGTATACCCACGTACCAACGTATATCGATACGAATGACGTCGGTCAATATTTTGATTCATATGGACGATCACCTGTACGGTATCATCTAGAGTTTTTATTTTTAGTATATTTATAGGGAACACATTGTACAATTGTATTTTAGTGGATGAGTTGTTTCGCTCCTACTTTATAGACAATAAGTAATAAGATTTTGTATTTTGTAAATAAAAATTGTAACAAAATTAGGTAATGTGTTTTATTGATGATTCAGATTAGCGTTGTAGATAGGAACAAAGAAGTATAATACAATAGCACTGATAAGCCGATGCATACGCCGAGGAAAAATAGACAATGACGGTATTCAATGAACAATAGATAAATAGATAAGAACAATGGGGCGCTAATGACGGTGGAGGCCCTCACCGGATATCAATTAGATAAGAGTTAATTGATCTGCACATCTCCGGAACCGTGCATCCTACACAAAAACGGACCGCAGATTCGTGATCAGAGCATGCCAAAACCTTTTTTTTTAGGATCTTGAGTCGACGAACGTTGTACCACTTCTGACTCGGTGAGCCAGAAGTGTTACTACCTATCTACTCCCTCCGGAACCTTGGAATACTTCGAGAGTCGCTCACGTCCTACACCTATGTGTAGGACGTGAGCGACTCGCGAAGTATCTTCGACAACATTTACACCGAAGAGTTTCGCCCGTCCGGCACACTATGGAGGGAACAAAATTACATACTGATAAAAAAATTTTAAACTCAACAACTACAACTTCTTAGGTCATTGAATTACTAATTTTCACCGTATTTTATCGTATTAATTTAACATGTCTTTAAACCAAGTACAAGTACGGTTTACCGGTATCGGTAAAATATTCTTACATCCCTAGTACTGTTGTTTTGACACATCAATATTTCTTTATTTTTGTTTCTAATATTCACAAAATATTAATTGTTTCGACTTACTGGTGAAAGAATAGATCACTTTTATTCAAATTATACATCTGCCTGTTTTTCCGACGGGGAGTTTATTATGTGTGCGTGTGTGAGTGCGTGCGAGCGTGCGTGTGCGTGTGTGCGTGTGCGTGTGTGCGTGTGCGGGTGTGCGTGCGGGTGTGCGTGTGCGTGTGCGTATGTGCGTGTGCGTGTGTGCGTGTGCGTGTGTGCGTGTGCGTGTGCGTGTGTGTGTGTGTGTGTGTGTGTGTGTGTGTGTGTGTGTGTGTGTGTGTGTGTGTGTGTGTGTGAGACAGGACTCTGGGGGCATTTCGCTGATATTACCAGAGTTTGTCTCTACTAAGTGCACGTCGCAAACCGCACATACGTTTGTCGTGCGTCAAATTGTGTGTTTGGCTATGCTCGGCTATATCGAATGTCATTCAATACCAGACTCACGCAAAGAACACTTCACCGTTGAGTGCTATGTCCGTCAACTCGTGTGTACTCGGCTTAACTCAGCTGGGCTTATATGTGCTCGTCTGCACTAAATAAGTGAAGGAGTTATTCGCAAAGCTGATATACGTCGTAAAACGCAGTTGCGTTTATTATTCGTCCTCTTGGCTATGTTCGGTTCTATATTCGAATATTTTATCTTAGACACACGTCTTAAAGTAAAGTATATTTATACTTGGTAGAGTCCACGCTGCTGTGAATTATAGTTACAGCACAAATAGGTCGACCAGAACAACAAAGGGCCACGGTCGTACAGAATACTACCGTGAAATAGCAGCATGATAATCCCGTATTTTGTGTGGTGTGTGACGAGAACCGGAGACCCTTTTAACTGGTAGTCCTCGGGGGTGAAAATGTACCTGCATTTTTGTTCAGATTCATGTGCGAATCCACATACCATCAGCTGGAGTGTGTTTCGTTTGTTATCCTTATTTCGGGGCCCATGTCCATCAGTGGACACCTGAATTACGGAATACCTGAAAATATGTTTATGTTATATATACTTCTTGAAATTATATATCGTATGTTCTATATACAGCAACACTTCTCGGTCAGAAATGCCTTAGCAGTACGTAAGTAAATCACTATTTTATATGGACCTCCCACATAAACAAGAATTTGCCGTAATTGGCAGGCATATCGCAATGCCAAACTTTTCTTTGACGCTTGTTTCATCGGTCTCGGCATTTTGTATTGTTGCGCGCCTAAGTTGACGTATGGTACTAGCGCAATCTAGTGTCGGGTAACAGAGCGAGGAGAGCTTTCCAGAAAATGACATGACTAATCTTTCAACCGACAGCACCATCTAGTACAGAATTGAAGAACTAAGCTTTCTAGAAGCCCTTACACTCGAACTTTCGGCGCCTGGTCGATTGGCGCGCGTATTTACTTGAATATTCTGGATGTTTCGGTGAAAAGGCGTATTTAAAGGCGCTGCAATACGCGATCGGGGCAGTATTGAATTTAGCGAGACAAGCGAAACTTCGGAGCGAAATAAAGTGAATCCAGTGTGATTAATTATTAGTGTCTTTTAAGTTTTAATTAGTGAAAAGTGAATTCTCTCTCTTCCTGGCTATGTGTCCCACATGGTGGTGGGGTCAGCCTTTCTTGTCTTACGCCTCCACTTCGCTCTATCCTCGACTTCATTTTCGGAGACTTCGCACTCTCTCATGTCCCTTAACACTACATCTTTCCATCGTGTTTTGGGTCTGCCCCTGGATCTTCGACCTGGGATGGAAAGTTGTAGTGCCAAGTTCCCTACGTAGTCGGGTGGCCTCCTCTTCACGTGCCCATACCATCGCAGCCTACTTTCCTGCATCTTGTCAGCGATGTCGCGCACGCCCAAGCTTCCTCGCACGTACTCGTTGCGGATTTTGTCGAGCTTGGTAACGCCGCACATCCACCTCAGCATCTTCATCTCGGCAACTTGCATGGTATGCACATTCTTTTGAGTTACGGCCCATGTTTCACTGCCATACAATAGGACTGGTCTGATGATGGTCTTATATATTAAACCTTTAAGTTTGACCGGCATTCTCCTATCGCACGTGACACCAGTCACTTCTCGCCACTTTAGCCACGCTGCGGCTATTCGGTGCTGAATGTTAATTTCCAAGTCCCCAGAACCGCTCATCATACTACCCAGATACTTGTATTGATCACACGATTTGACCAATTGTCCATCGATGGAAATTGGACTGTTGTTTGTATCTGGGTCGTTGAAGGACATGAACTTAGTCTTTGCCACACTCAGCACTAGGCCACCGGTCTGTAACTGATGTTTCCACGACACGAGTGCCTCTTGCAAGTGAGCGCGGCTGTCTGTGCAGATGGCTAGTGAAAAGTGAATTAAAGTGTTAATTTTGGTAATTCTATCGGCAATTTTTACTGTCACGAACCTCAAGCTCGTAACAGTATCTTTTATTAACATAAGCTGGTTGGCGCGGTGACTAACTGACTATAAATAGAACAGGAGAAGAAGCGAATGCCCGGTGGTGGGACGTATTTTACCTCTGTCACGCATTTTTCCTTTTATTTATATTTTACTAAATTGCAATATGTAAAAAATAATATTTAACAATAACACTGTATTTAACAATGGCACTTAGTTTTATCGTATTTCAACATTTTACTTAGTTGAAAAACTTACGATCATTAAAAAATCGATAACATTTATTACCTATACTCCTTGGTCCTCTGAGCCGGACATCATTATAGACTTAAAATGTTTTTTCGAAGTATGTGTTCTTTATAGAGTTTGTTTTAAAGTGATGTAATTATCATTTCAGGTGTCCTTGACATTTACGGCTTTGAAACGTTCGAGATAAACTCCTTTGAACAGTTTTGCATTAACTACGCCAACGAGAAGCTTCAACAACAGTTCAATTCACACGTCTTCAAGTTAGAGCAGGATGAATACATTAAGGTACAGTAACAGATTACTCATTACATAATTTATTAAAATCACTTGCAGAGAAAATTAATCAAATATATATTATTTAATCTAGAAAAAAAAAGGTTGTAAGGGATCTCAAGATTATAATTTTAATCAACGTACAACTCCAATATTAAAATTAACTTCTACAAACATCAGAGCTAGAAATTTAAAGTGAACAAAAAAGAGATTAATTATATTATTTTAAAATTACCGATTTATAACTTAGAATCGTTTGATATATTTATTTTTCTCAGAAATTATGTCTTTGTTGTTTGCAATAAAACAATCGTGACCCCTGATTTAGCACAGTACGGAGAGCTCAAGCTGTTAACGTATAAAAGCCTAACCTGGCTAAAATGAAACTTGGCTATGTTTTGAAATTATAATATAAGTAAAATGGAGAGAATTTCATTGGATTCATCCTGGTAATTTTTATATGATAAAATAAAACAGTCAAAAAGTTTTAAAAATTCTATGGGCAATTAAGCAGAAACTCGTATGTCAAATTTTACCCTATTATAAAATGTTCAATGCAAAAAATCGATCTTCGTACTTCTTTAGTGCTTCGTACTTCTTTAGTACTTCGTACTTCTTTTGTACTTCGTACTTCTTTAGTACTTCGTACTTCTTTAGTACTTCGTTACTTCTTTAGTACTTCGTACTTCTTTCGTAGTTAATCTGTCAGACTTTGTTCTGTAAGTTCCGCTAGGTGGCGCGATTAGTCTTATTTCCAAAATACTCCGAACTTTTTATAGTGTATATCGATATATAAGAATTATTATTGCCAAAAAAAGATTATCTACTATATACACTATATAGATGATAATCTTTTTTTGGCAATAAACCAAAATTTCTTGTGAATATGAGTGGTTTTGGTCCAGAGATAATAGAATTTGTTAATAATTTAACTACAGAAGTCTAAACAACACTCAACCTAACAATATGTCAAGTTGTTCAGAAATTGCATGAGCACCAAAGATTATATTGATAAGAGTTTATAAGTCTTCTGTAACTCCTTTACTTGTTCTTTCAGGAGGAGATATCTTGGAAAATGATCGACTTCTACGACAACCAGCCGTGCATCGACCTGATCGAGGAGCGGCTGGGCGTGCTGGCGCTACTGGACGAGGAGTGCCGCGTGCCGCAGGGCTCGGACCAAGGCTTCGTGGCTAAGCTTCACCAAAATTGCTCCAAGTACCCACACTTCCTCAAGCCCAGGTTCGGAAACGCGGGTAAGTTGTCTTTCCCGCCGAATCCTCCTTTTTTCTGCCGATAACGAAAAACAGAATGAAAGTATATCGAATGATATCTATTTAATATAATACATATTTTTCAATTCGACCATATATTACTTACCCCTTTGTAATTGTTACCTTGACGTTGTGAAATTCCTTCGTCTACTCAATAGATTAAAAAAGAAAATCCGACTTTAATTTACTAAAAGAATGAAATAATTTATGCGTAATGCTTCCGTCAGGGCTAGATCGAGTATTAATTCTTAAATACACTGTTTTAGCACCGACACCATAAGCTATTATGTGGAAATTATTTTATTCTTTGAGTTCCAATAATATCAAGATGATTCGTGCTAGATGCTACTAGTAACCTAGCACTCGCTCCATCTCGCGCAGTCACGCACACAGAGCGAACATGGTAGTATGCGTCAATATTACGCCGTTCCAGAGCGATCGCTTTTGAATATACGCTCTTAACATCGACTCTTGGTCACTAATCCTATAAAAAGAGACTGCTCCCATAAATCTTATTAACATATATTTGAGTAAGTTGCTAACCCTTAAGATACATCCTCCGCACCTTATAAGATGTCGTACGTACTAGAAAGTAAGTGATCAATGTATTCATCATCACACAGCACAGCCTATCAAAATCTACTTTGCCTCATAGGGGGTGATGAGGGATGTTTGCCATAGTTGCCAAATTTGCAGGCTTTTCTTCCCGATAACAACACGAAACAACTAATTAATTAGTGACTTATAATTTTATTAAGAATATCGTCGCATGTCAACATTAGTAGGTTCTTGAAAAAATAACATTTTCTTTGGCCTTTGAAAATCTCATAAAATTCATTGCAAGGAATAAATACTTGTAATGAACTTTATGCCCACATCGTTAAGCACTTTCGTTTTGTTGTTATGCTGATAATATAGAACCAGGGTAGCTCAGGAGCATTACGCATGCCTTATATTTCGTCATACTTGAGCAACCTTGGTTTAGTTAGACATTTCACATTTTCGACGATAAAACCTCCAGCTATAGTAAAGACTCATTTCTGCTACATTAACCTTGGAAAAGAGTAGACCTTTGGCTACCAGTAGGATACTCAAAGGTTGTAATTTATGATTAACTTGTGAAGTACAATAACTTTTTTTTTAATTACAGCTTTCATAATAAAACATTTCGCTGATAACGTGGAGTACCAATGTGGAGGTTTTTTGGAGAAGAACCGTGACACTGTGGCTGAGGAACAATTGGAATGCATAAAGTCGGCGACCAGCTGCCGACTTATCCATACGATCTTTGCTGAGGAGCGCCCTATGAGTCAAGCTTCTACATTGCCGCCACCTTCTAGACGGAGAACCGCGTCATCGCAACCTATTGGTAGCCTGACGGTAACAATAATATAATTTGTTTTTAAACTAGGAAAAAATAAATAAACGCTTAGAAACGTTTTAAAACTAGTTAAAGACACATCTTGTGTAAATCTATTTTATTTTAAGCTATAAATTTTATTAATAAAACTTTGAACTAAAATATCAACAGTTGGATGAAATTTATCTAAGCAAGATAGAATTACATAGATTATTATACCGATTTGTGATTAATGGGTGTATTTAGTTAAATATTCGTTATTTTGTTAATAAACTGACACTGGTAAGTCTAAATATAAATTTTACTATTTTTTTATTCTTTAGTGCGTACTTTTACTTTGGCTCCCATATAGCACAAAATCATTACAAAATTTATTATACTGATATTGACGTTAGACATAGTGTACGCCTATATTAGAGCGAGAAAGATAGGCAAGGCTATTCACGTTCATGCTATCGGTCTGTATCGACTGCGTAATTCTTGAACAAAGCAAATCCCGCTTACATTTGCAAATTTTCGGGGTTTAAAGTGTAAATTAGTGTTTAATAGACGTAATTATGGCTATGTGTATAGTACCTAAATATAACTCACCCAACAAAGAAAACACATAATTATGAATTTAACTCATAAATACGATTGAAATGTTTAGCTGTTTAAATGCTTGTTTTAGAACAGTTATAAACGATTTGTACACAAATTGACGGGAAAAATTATCCTACTTCATAAGACTGTTGCGCGCCTGAGTTGATGTCTGGTACCTGGCACTAGCGCCATCTAGTGACGGGGAACAGAGCGAGGAGGGCTTCCTAGAAGATGCCAATCTCGAACTTTCCACCAACAGCGCCATCTAGTGTCGAACAGAAGAATTAAGCTTTCACGTTCCACTCTCGAACTTTCTGCGCCTGATCGGTCGGCGCCGTATTTACTGGAATTTTCTGGATGTTTCGGCGGAAAAGATGTATAAAGCCGCTGCAAGCCGCGATCGGGGCAGTATTGAATTGGCGATACGAGTGAAGCTTTCGGAGCGAAATAAAGTGAATCAGTGTGATTAATTATTAGTGTCTTTTAAGTTTTAATTGGTGTTCCGTAATAAAAGTGTAAATTTTGGTAATTCAATCGGCAGTTTTTATTGTCACGAACCTCAAGCTCGTAACAATACTAGTGATCTAAATGCATAGGGATTGAATTTAATATAAGCACAAATACGTGAAATCCTTCTAATTCTAATTGTACAGGCCACAGTTTGCGCCTCGTATGGCTTTGATAGTTAGATTAGTTTATACTTATGTTGTTTAAAGTTAGTTTAAGACGATAGTACTTCAGTATGAGTGGCATATAAATAATGCACACGTGTTGTTACTTTAGCCGTTCATTACACACACTAATTTTATGACATGAAATACATATCACATGAAAAGCAGTGCATTGTAAATAATTCGTGACGCGGCGATTCGAGCCGCGTCAGCATAAAATAATGTATGATTTTTGGACCCTACACTAATCTTACTTTTGTAGAAAATTACACTATCAATAACATCTTATCGATAAGTTCCTAATTGCCAAATGTTTGAATGCAGCCTTATTCACCTTCGTAATATTCTTTAATTTTTAGAGTTCCGTAGTCGGTAGATATTCTTCTTATCGCATGTTAAAATTATTACAATAATAATAATTCTACTATAGCAGGAACTTTAAAATAAACATTCTCATAGAGGTGCACTAAGAGAAAAACTATGTGTTCTGGTTCAATACCTGTATTGTTTTGCTATTTTTAAATTATCTAGTTAGATAATTTAAAAAATAACACCAATGTGGGTTATAAGTGTTTATAGTTATAAACACTTATTACATTAACTATTGAATCTTATTATATTATTGTACTCAACCAAATCTAAGAAATACCTTTTGACGTTTCAGATTAATTTCGCAATAACTTTACAAACGTACTTTTTTATAGGAAAAGGGTGACAAGCGAGCACACAGTCCACCTGATGGTAAGTGGTTGCTGTGGCCCATAGACATCTACATCTATCCTCGTTTGCGAATCGAAATGAAGATGCGTTGTCAGATATGGTGGAATGAAGCATGCATAACTTCTTGAGTTGAACCTTAGTGCTTAGTGGTGAAGATTTGCTAAGCTTGTGATTTCCTAAGGAGTTGAGGGTCGGTTTATAGATCTGATGGAATGCCTCTTTTTCAGTATAAAGGGTCTCCGTTTCTCTACACTCACCATACGAAACACAGCAGCATTAAGCTGCTATTTGACGCTGGTATTCCGTGAGAGCGTGGTCCTTCCCCGGTCGAGTCGATCCATTCGTGCTACAACTATACAATTAATATATCTGCAGCATGGCTCTACCACGTATAAAAATCTACATATACGATTTAAGTAATTTAAGCAACCGTAAGCATCATTTTGACTTGGCCTAAGTGGGGTAAAACTTTTACTGACATCTCCATCGAATCAGAAGACACGAATACAACGTAATCAATATCGATAAATGAAGTTGAGGCATACAGTGCGTGGGGTGCAGCACTATTTGTCTCCAAAACATGCACATTTCACGCACACTGTTAAATTTTGATTTTGGTCCTGACTTTATCTCCCCATCCTCAATTTATCATCTGTCAGTATATAATAAATCTATGGACAAAATAGATAATTGTCTATTGTCGTAGAAAAAAAGTATATTTATGTGACATAGGAAGTTGAAACCAGGGAAATAGACGTCCACTCACACTCACGCAGACACTCACATTGCGTAAGAGGTTTTACATGACAGTACCTGATAAAGTCAACGTCAAGGTAAAAGGTAGTAGCAGATGTTTTAAACAAGTAAATGTCAGTTCTAAGAATAATTGAAATGAAAACTTTATTTTCAGACATAAAAAATAAACATTTTGTTTGTCAAATTTCGACATTTTGTTACGCTATTACAGTTTCAAATGAAGATTCTCTGTCCAGCAGAGGACCTGCGAAAGACACTCCGCAGGTATCCTCTTTTCGATTGAAAGAGAATATTAATCAGATATTGTTTTGATCAGCAAACACCGAGACGTGCGTCGGGACAGAAGCTGACGGTGGGCGCCCAATTCCGCGCGTCGCTGTCGGCTCTCATGCACACGCTGTCCGCCACCACACCGCACTACGTGCGCTGCATAAAACCAAACGACACGAAGCAGCCCTTCAGCTTCGACCCGGCGCGAGCCGTGCACCAGCTCAGGTACTGCACACTGTGCGCCACCAGCCGCACTACGTGCGCTGCATCAAGCCCAACGACACCAAGCAGCCCTTCAGCTTCGACCCGGCGCGAGCCGTGCACCAGCTCAGGTATTGCACACTGTGCGTCACCAGCCGCACTACGTGCGCTGCATAAAACCAAACGACACGAAGCAGCCCTTCAGCTTCGACCCGGCGCGAGCCTTGCACCGGCTCAGGTACTGCACACTGTGCGCCATCAGCCTCACTACGTGCGCTGCATCAAACCCAACGACACCAAGCAGCCCTTCAGCTTCGACCCGGCGCGAGCCGTGCACCAGCTCAAGTACTGCACACTGTGCGTCACCAGCCGCACTACGTGCGCTGCATAAAACCAAACGACACGAAGCAGCCCTTCAGCTTGGTATTTATCATAGAATACTATAATACATACATAATATAACGGGAGAGTGGGCGGAGCCCGTATAGCCACTAACATGTCAATTTACATGTATAAATGTCCACACAATCAATCGTTTCCAATTTTCGTGTCAAGCGTCGCTGCATGCAAATTATTTAAAAAAAATTGCAAATTATGCAATAATTACGTGTCGAAAGAACAACGGGAAATGGAATTTAAATAAAAGGGACATATTCTACAACCAGTAAGTCGAAACTATTTATATTTTGTGAATATTAGAAACAAAAATAAAGAAATATTTATGTGTCAAAGGTCGTCAGTTTTATCTCATTTTATTGTTTTCGTCGTGAAAGGTCGTCAGTTTTATCTCAATTTATTGTTTTTTTTTTTAATGAACGTTAGGAAAGGAAATAAATAATTTTTTTTATATAAGATAATTATTTATAAGAATTATAATATCGTCTGCACGTCATCTAGCGTGCCAATGTCTAAACTATGCTTCGGGCGCTTTTGCTTGTCAAACTTACACTACTTAAAGGAGTGTCAAAATTTTCTTACATTTCATTTTTGATTTTCTTATTATATACTGTAAGTTCTTTCCTATAAAATTCAACCGCGTGCACATTTCATTGGAAAAAAGTGATAAAATAATTTATTTTAAACAAATAGTGTCTGTGTTTAGCGTGAAGGTCGAGACAAAAATGTATGGGCTATCGGAGAATCCTCCTTAACTTTAACGCTATCGAACACGTAAAAATCTCACACTAGGCACGCTGATATGGATGCGAATGAAGTGAACGCTGCCACGGTGCAATGGTATTGTAAATAATTGTACAAGTTATTGTAAAATATTACTTTGAAAAAATGTATTGCTAGGTTTCTTGCTAGTTCTCCCCATGACGAAGGTTTTTTCTGAAACAGTGGTAAAAGAAATACATATAATAATTTGTAATAAATAAATATAATTTAATAAATTTTATTCTGGTTTATAAATTGTCCTCTGTGTCATGAGCTCATGAGCCTTTAAAATAATGTGTGTATTATGTACTTTAACATTAACTTTATTTTTGTCTTGTAGAGCGTGTGGTGTGTTAGAAACAATCCGAATATCAGCTGCTGGATTCCCTTCACGTTGGCTATATCAAGACTTTTTCCATAGGTGAGTGAGTATTTTATATTTTATTTTATCTATCAATTTTAAATCAAATGGAACCGTAGGCGGCCTTGGAGAATTCTCTCTACCATACCATGCGAGTCGTTAGAGGCAACAGAGAAAATCAAAACAGAAAATGGGCAACAGTATCTCCTTGATAATAATTCCATTATGGAGTGTAGAAGTAAGGAGAACAATCTCTCATAGGAGAATAGTTGAAAAAGTGTCCATCTGTAAGCAATAAATAATAGTTCAAAAACTCTCCACAACAGCGCTGGAGTAGCTACAGGGATGAAATGAACTTAGCAATTGTCGACTGTTAGAAGTGTGCTGCTAAACTGCTCAGGGATGACAATGCATCTGCATTTCGACAGCATTAACCTATACAACTCATAGATATCTACATCTTTCCTCAAATAAAAATAAAAATGCATATTCATAATCGTTTAAAAATTTAATAACCTCCTAAACAAAAAAGCTGATGATCTTCAAACGGCTGAACCGATTTCGATAAAATTTGTTTAACAACCACCACTAGAAAACCCGTTTTTAAAAAAAAAAAAAACAAATCCAAATCTGTTCAACCGCTGAAGAGCTACGGTTATGGAGTGTAGAAGTAAGGAGTACCAACTCCCAAAGTAGAATAGTTGAAAAAGTGGTAATCTGTAAGCAGTAAATAACTGTTCAAAAACTCGCCACTACAGCGCTGGAGTAGCTACTGGGATGAAATGAACTTAGCAGTTGTCGCCGGTTTAAGTGTGCTGCTAAACTGATCAGTAGCTCTAAAATCTAAAATAATTTTATTTAGTAAATATTACCTCGAAAAAGTCGTCCATTCTACTATATATTTTTCGGTACGTTCTTTAAAATTTACCCCGTAGATATAGTGGCGCCACCCTTATTTAACGGTTTTCAACGGAAACTTTTTAATACACTGTCTATACTTCTTACCTCTACATTCCATAAATTCCGTAATAAAAGAAGAACTGTGATTCTACCCACGGTTAATGAAAACTATTGCCTTTATGATTTCCTTGACTAATGGAATTGATTACTTACTATTTATTTTTACTTACATCTACAATTGTTTCTCTAATGCTACAAATGGGTTTCCTCCATAAAAGGAAATACTCTTGTACTTACTGTAATCTTATAAACATTGTTTATAGTACGTATTTTGTCAGTGCTAAAGTGGCTTAAAAACAGTTTTTTTTTACAGATACCGACTTCTATGCTTACACAAAGATATTAACCGCAGTAACATCAAAGCAACCTGTGCCATAATACTTCAAAAGCACCTCAAGGACTCTGACAAGTATCAGTTCGGAGCTACCAAAATTTTTTTCCGAGCTGGTCAGGTAAAGCTAAAAAATGTTTATCAAACGTTTTTCCATACTACCTTTGGAAGTTTATTGTTTAACGTGTATTTACTGTGTAGTAGAGCCACGCTGCAGTTATATTATGGTTGTAGCACCAACGGGTCGACACGAACGGGGAACGACCACGCTCTCACAATACGAGCGTAACATAGCAGCTTAATACTACCGTGTTTCGTATTGTGAGTGTAGAGATCCGGAGACCCTTTTTTACTGGAAGCGAGGCCTTCCATCTTAGTCCTCAGGGGTGACAACGCATCTGCGTTTTGATTCTTAATCGAGGATATATATAATGTCTTTGGGCTACAGCATCCACTTACCATCAAGTGGACTGTGTGCTCGTTTGTCACCCTAATTCTATAAAAAAGGAAGGTGATTGTTCCATTATTTGGTAATCTACGTCCAAAAATTGGCATTATATCGACTTTATCTAGACTTGTACATAAACGGAACAGTATAACAATATTGATTTCAAATTTACGGGGCCTGAAAACATCTGTATTTTTACACTAATTTAAGTGAAATTTTGAACGTAAATAAATAATATCAGAAGCATAAACATTCCAAAATATTTTACATAAATACAAGCATAATTTATTTATTCAGAAGCTTATTTAAAAAAAATACTTCGCAGTAATTTTCTTTATTAATCTGATGATTAAATTGCTCTTGTATTTATTTAGCGTAGCAAACAAGCTCATTATCATTATGGTGTCCACTTCAGTCAAGAGGCGTACTTATAACTAATTACTAGCAATGAATACTGCGCACAACATTGCCACAACTACTAACCTGATGGAGTGCCTCATATTCCGGATAATGGATCTTTACTCTTAAACAAGTACACAACAGTGGTATACTTCTGACCATCGAAATAAGTAAGAGTGTGCTCTACCCAGATGGATACTTTTATGAAAAAAAGCTCTACCACATATATCATGATAATGGTGATGCATATCTAGTGACCACGGCAACCTGTCAATTCCCTAGGATACCTACATGCAGTAAAGCGCAATGTTAAACACATTATAATACATACAGTAATTGTCATAGAATTCATGATGTAGTACATAGTTAAGGGGGGAGTACCTTTATGTTTTAGGCCACATGTATTCGGAATTACGTTTCGGAATTTGGAACGTATGTTTTAAGATCGGCTACATACATTCGGAATCCCACTTTTGCTGCAAAATTTCGAACGGAAAACTACTGTATGTGTGTGATAGGTCCTTGATTTTATATGGAATTATATCCGAAATTGGAGTTCCGAAACGGATTCCCGAAACAGAATTACGAATGTATGTGGCAGGCCTAAGCCTTATTTTTACCTGACTCCACAGAAGATTAATATTTTGCTTGATGGATTATTTTAACACATGGGGTGTCGGTAGATTAATTTTGGTTATGACATAGATTATAAATGTTTCCTTTTAAGACAATATTTGTACACAGTCGGGTTTTTGAATCACTATTCAATAATTGAGCTCATATTGTGCTTAAAATTGGATACTGGTTAATTTGAAAAGATCGCTGGTGCATAAAAGATTGTATATTCATACCACGGTGTAATAGATAAGTAGGGTCTTATGATCATGACGATATACCATCTCGTTTAAGTGAGACGCAAAATACTTTCTTTTTCATTTTTTAGATTTGAATAGACACGTGTAAAGTACGGCCAACTAGCAGCGGTACGAAAGGACATTTACCTTAAAAACGACAGTGGAGTTGACAATCTATTATCTATCTCTTTCCATCTCGTGTATTTGTCGTAATGTCTCGTTTTCCCTGCAAGAACATTTCAGGGTTAAGACGGGTTCGCTGACATTCAGGAGGCCGTTTTAGAAGATAAGTTTTTCAAACTTGATTTTATTGTAAATGACGTGACCGATAAATTTATTATACATGTTACGGACTCTGATTCTGACTCTACAGGCTCAGAAGAATCGGCGTCTGACTGAATAAACAATGAATTCCTCAAAAAATATTTTAATCCTCATTTCCATAAACATAATACAACATATCATTAGTCCTGTGTCGCCTAAGGCGTAGGCAGAGATACTAACACCTACATTTCTCATACACCGGCCACACAGATGTCAGGCAACCGATATTCAGAAACATTATTATTATTCTCGTTATTTAATTTAAATCTACATTATACAATAATTCAAATTATAACAAAATTTATAAAAAGTCAATTTTTTTGGTTTGCTAGACATTTTTTACAACTATATTGTCTACAAAAAGTTACGCACCCCTGCTATCTCTAATAACCTTGCATTGTTTTTAAGCTATTGCATAGCTTCTATCGCGGGCCTTGAGCGCGGGGACCGAATCCAGAAATTCCGTAACGAAAAAACCTCACGCTCCCCACTCCGACGGGCACGGAGGTGTGGCGTTGAAAGCCGTGCATCGTCTAACGTCGTTTTAATTCGGCAGACTTCGGCACTCGGCAGAGTTCGGCACGGTGTTTGTGTGCGTGCGACTAGACGTATGCGTGTACACTAGCTGCTAACTCAATGATAAAAATTCCTGAATAACCTACATGTATTGTAAAATATTAAAAATATTTTAAACAATATTAACTTCTCATTTATTCAATTAGGAGAAAAAAAATTTTTTCTTATCGGTCACCACGCTCAAAAAGTGTAACTTGATTTAATATCAAAGACTTAACTGCATAAATAAAATAAATAAATAATTATAATTGCATAAGTTGATAAAAAATGCTATGCAATGCTTTACCGCGGCAGTAACCGAGTGCCACACGTATTTTATTTTACATTTGGTATCGCTTCTCGTTGGCCGTAATTTATATAAGTTGTAATTTTGCTAGGATACACTTTTCCAAAACCAGATATCATCAGAGAATGCGTCTTAAATGTAATCCTGGGATATATGCAAGAGTAGAGTGTATGTATACACTCGAGTGTACTGCTTCATCGTCAATCTTTTCTGGGTAGTTAGAATAGTTAGATAAAGTGCAAGATGGAACCGTCAAAATGCTATGTACGTGAATATTAAGTTTACTATGTGTACTACCAGTAAGTTAAACAAGTACACATGTTTAATGTATACACTCGAGTGTACTGCTTCATCGTCAATCTTTTCTGGGTAGTTAGAATAGTTAGATAAAGTGCAAGATGGAACCGTCAAAATGCTATGTACGTGAATATTAAGTTTACTATGTGTACTACCAGTAAGTTAAACAAGTACACATGTTTACCCAAATCACAAAAATAAGGATAAGTTTTTTTTAATGGAAGAGGAGGCAAACGAGTATGCGGTTCACCTGATGATAAGTGGTCACCATCGCCACACCATTCGCACCACCAGGGGGATTGCAGGTGCGTTGCCGACCTTTTAGAAAGGAGTAAGCTCTTCAAGGTCCTTAAACGGTATTGGTCCGGAAAAACAGCTGGCGACAATAAATTCTATAGTATGTTCAAAATGGTGCGAGGCTAAATTCCGCGTAAATCGCTTATTAGTGCACCGCCTGTAATCGAAATGATGAGTGTGGAATTTCGAGTTCTGTCGCAGTATACAATGGTGGAATTCAGCAGCTGGAATTAATTCGAACAATTCCTCTCAGCGCTCCCCGTGGTATATACGTCAAAGGATACAGATGCAACGTCTCTTCGCACGGCCAATGGATTAAGCCGATCAGAAAGAACTTGGGCGTTGACGATTCGGGCCGCTCTCTGTTGAATACGGTCAAATGGAAGGAGCTGTTACTGGAGTGCCCCGGCCCAGAGATGAGAACAGTATTCCATATGAAGCCGAAACTGTGCTCTGTAAAGTTGTAAGCCGTGGGCATGCGTGAAGAAAAAACCTGTTGCAATCTACTGAGCACACAAAGCTTTTTTATCATGACCTTTAGCCTTCCCTTCCAAGTTAAAGCCGACCTTGATTTTTCAAAATGTCAACACCAAGGATTCCGATGATTGCTGAGGCAACAAGGGGGACGCCCTGAAATTGAGGAGATACGACAAAGGGTTTCTTTGTTTCGATAAATGCGTAAACCTGTGTTTTTGAGGGTTAAACTGGACTAGTATTTTTGTGGATTATTTAGTCGCCCCCAGTCCTAGAATTTGTTTAACAAGGACTCTACTTCAACACGAGTTTATTCCGGCACTAGACGAAGTGTTCCCGAGAAATATTAGAACGGCCGGTGTATACAGCGTAGCTGGTGCTATCGTCTGCGTAACAACGAATGTTACTAGTGTGCAACATATCATTGATATGCTGAAGGAACGGTGTGGGCGATAGCACGCAGCCTTGTGGAACTGGAACACCAGCATTCATAGGCTTGGAGTCGGAACATGCACCGTCAAGTACGACCTTAATACTTCCGATCTGTAGGAAAACTGGTGACTAAATTGCATAATTTCTTGGGAAGCCCATAAGAGGGATAAATTACCGCTGTGTGCCAAACCCGATCGAACGCCTTTGCTATGTCCAAGCTAACCGCCAGGGCTTCCTCATTTGTCTCGGCTTGGAGAACAAGGAGGTGATGGCGATAGGCCTGTTGTTAGACGGGTCCGAGCGATCACCTTTTTTAGGAATCGAGTACTAAAGCTGTTCCATGAGCTTGGAACGACACATAAAGGGTAAGAGAACCGGTAAACGGGACCCTCTTTTACTGGAAACGAGGCATTTTATCATAGTCCTCACGGATGACCAACGCATCTTCATTCGATAATCAAGGATAGATGTAGTGTGCTATGGTCCACAGCAACTACTTACCATCAGGTGGACTGTGCTCGTTTGTCACTCTTATCCCATAAAAAAAAACGCTTAAGAACCGGTACCAACTCTCGAAGAGCACACGTCTTCAGCACATTTGGGGCGATTCCATTAGACCCACTCGACTTATTTTCACGTCCATCGAGTAGAGTACGTTTTACGCACTAAGCGCTGTGTGAACCAAAAATCCTGCTTAATGCATTCATATTGCGCGATGGTTCGTAGTAGTTTTCTCCTGTCGTCGAAAGTCGAGAAAAAGGGAACCTAAAAGATCGGCTTTCTCTTTTACAGCCTGGGTCAGCGGGTCATCCTCCCAGCGCAAAGGTGGTTTAAATAATGGCTTACATAAATTTCCTTAGACAGCCTTGGCGAAAGATCGGAATGCACAAGTTCCCGAAGGAAGGCAAACTAGTTTGTCGCCAATTCTTTCTATGTGCTCGGATTTTGCCCTAGAGATACTCTTTTACAGAACCTATAGGGGGAGTTGTACTTATTTTAGAGTGCGTTACTGTTTGCATCCCGGGACGCCAATACTTCGGTGTTCTATAAAATCATCAATAGACGCGAGGGTGGTAGTCGCCGCTTACGAGTAGCAACGTGATGTACAGGTCCTTGCCTTTAGCTACCAAGGCGTCGAGAATAGATATCTTTTCTGACCTACACACAAACTCCAGAGTGAATCAAAACCAGAGTGTTCCAGTTTGTAACCTGGGTAAGATAATATGTATATATCAGAATAAGATGTATCAGCCAGAGAGGATAACTGTGTCTCGGTGAGAAAAAGCAAGGCTGCCTTAGCTGTCTCGAGATGCTGGTGGACAGCGTAAAGCTTTGAATGAAGTCTCCTTATGTTGAACAAATTAACAGAGCTTAAGATGGAGTACCGAAGTGATTTTGCTCCGCCTGCTTCATGTACAATGTGTGTAGAGTGGAGTTGTGCCTTCCCCAGATTACATGGGACTGCCTGCGCTACAGCGTCGTCATACCTTAACTATGAATTGTAAGCGATGCGTGTGTGCGTGCAGGTGGCGTACCTGGAAAAGGTGCGCGCGGAGATCCAGCGCGTGTACTGCGTGCGCGTGCAGAGCTGTGTGCGACGCTTCGTGGCGCGGCGGAAGTACGTGCGCCTGCTGCGTGCGCTTCGCGGCCTGCAGGCGCACGCGCGCGGCTTCCTCGCACGCAGGTACGCACGGTTATTATTCATTAGTATAGATGCGACAAACCAACTATACCAACCTAAACAAGTTCAGTTTTTGATCAAAGAACTGAATATGTTCAGGTTAATGATAATATTGAGTAATAACTTTGTTGTCTTCCGATTCTTGATCAAAAACCTTATTTTATAATAAACCTGCGGCATATTTATAATTTATTATTTTCTTTTACTTGACACATTATTAGAAAGGTTATTGTATTTTAAAATGGTGTGTCGGTGTTTTGAAATCCGTTATGTTAGCAACATGGGTTAATTTAAATAAATTCATTAATTCACTGCTCAAATCAGTTGCAACAGAGACGCCTAGGACGTTGATTGATTTATTTATACATTCATTTCTTATTCATTCACTAATTTGTCCGTGCGTTCGTTTATTCACCCTATCGAAAGTCTACCAGTATTTTAACATAACTTTATTACGTCCATATTAGTTTTGTTTATCTGTATGTAATACATGTTTAAAGCTTAATAAATGATTATTATTAATAATTCGTGCAGGCACGCGCAGGACGTGCGACGCAACCGCGCCGCCATCACGATACAACGGCACGTGCGCGGCTGGCTAGCGCGCAGCAAGTACCGGCGGCTGCGGGCGCTCGCCATCGGGCTGCAGGCGCACGCACGAGGCTACCTGGCCCGCCGGCTCTACCGCGACAAGCGACGCGTGCTGGCGGTAACTAAACCCCTCTCCTCAACTCAACGTCCTTCTATGTTTACCACTTCTCATCTACCTTTTTTAGTCTATTCCTCATAAACGCCATTACCAATCATGTGCATAAAATTAGTTACTGTTTTTGAAGACCCGCCGCAGAAGAACACAAAAACTCTTCGATCACACTCTTAATCTCATGACTGTTAGACGGGAGATGAGGCTGCAATCGTCAACAGATTTGACAGCATACAGGCAACTGAACAGACAGATCTCCAAATGCATGCGGCGAGACTTACGCAACTATACTGCTCGTATTGAAGAAGCGATCGAGCGGAATCAGGGCTCCCAAGTCTTAGCCAGAGATCTGTCTGCCAGTAAGAGCCAACTGTCAAAGCTGAAGACTGAGTGTGGCAGCATTGTTTCCGGGACACCTGAGATTCTGAGTGAGATTGAGAGGTTCTATGGGCAGCTGTACACATCATCGTTGGAGCCACACACAAGTGTGAATAACGATCCAAGAGCAAGTCTTATCCGACACTATTCGGATGATATCCCGGACGTCAGTCTGAGCGAGATTAGAATGGCTCTCCAGCACCTTCAAAACGGCAAGTCCCCGGGCGAGGATGGAATCACAGCGGAGCTTCTGAAAGCGGGTGGAAAACCGGTACTTGAAGTCCTTTAGAGGCTCTTTAATTCCGTCCTCCATGGTGGCACTACTCCGGAGGCGTGGAGCAGAAGTGCGGTGGTCTTGTTCTTCAAGAAAGGTGACAACGCCATCTTGAAGAACTACAGACCGATATCTCTTCTGAGCCGCGTTTTTCCTACGTCACGCTGTTTTAGCTCCCGAACAAGCCGGTTTCCGAAAAGGCTTTAGTACCATAGAACACATACATACCCTTCGGGAAATTGTACGGAAGTCCGAAGAGTACAATCTGCCACTTTCCTTGGCGTATGTGGACTATGAGAAAGGCTTTGATTCCGTCGAAATTTGGGCGGTGCTACAGTCTCTTCAGCGGTGCCAAGTTGACTGTCGGTATATTGAAGTGCTGAAGTGTTTGTACAGTAGGGCTACGATGGCTATCCGAATACAGAACCAGAGTACGAAACTTATCCAACTGCAGAGAGGTGTAAGACAGGGTGACGTTATTTCCCCGAAACTCTTCACCGCTGCATTTGAAGACGTTTTTAAGCTACTGGACTGGAAAGGATACGGTATTAACATCAATGGCGAGTACATCACTCACCTTCGATATGCCGACGATATAGTCCTTATGGCAGAATCGCTGGAGGACTTAAGCACTATGCTCAATAACCTCAATAGTGCCTCCCAACGGATAGGTCTTAATATGAACATGGACAAAACAAAAATCATGTATAATGGCCATGTCACACCTATGCCGATAGTTGTCGGGAGCACTAAGCTCGAAGTTGTTGACGAGTACGTTTACCTGAGACAAATAGTCCGACTAGGTAAGTCCAACTTCGACCGAGAGGTCAATCGACGGATTCAACTGGGCTGGGCAGCGTTCGGGAAATTACGACACATCTTCTCGGCAGGTGTACCTCAAAACCTGAAAACTAAGTTGTACAACCAGTGCGTGTTGCCAGTGATGACCCATGGAACCGAGATGTGGTCCTTCACTGCTGGCCGTATGAGGGCGCTCAAAGTCGCTCAGCGAGCTATGGAGAGGACTATGCTCGGAGTTTCTCTGCGTGATAAACTTAGAAATGAGGATATCCGCAGTAGAACCAGAATGACCGACATAGCCAAACGGATTAGTAAGCTGAAGTGGCAATGGGCCGGCCATATAGCTCGAAGAACCGACAACCGTTGGGGAAACAAGGTTCTCGAGTGGCAGCCTCGTACCGGTAGGCGAGGTGTAGGGCGACCCCCCACTAGATGGAGTGACGACCTGGTAAGACATGCAGGAAGTCGGTGGATGCAGGTGGCTCAGGACCGTGCTTTGTGGCATACCTTGGGGGAGGCCTATGTCCAGCAGTGGGCTTGTGAAGGGCTGTAATTATGATGATATATGAAGGGAATATCCCCCCATGAGCAAATGATTCCCTTATCATTCCAAAATATCAAAAATGCACAACGTTAATGTGGCCGTGGAAGGAAAAGGGGAGATCTCCCGCCGGGCAAGGTGTTCTGCCCGGGGAGCGGCCGACACTCCAAGTGATAGTTCGGAGAAGTTCTATATATACTGTCTATGATTCGGAATGTTGATAGCGTGATTTAGGCTTCGGTGTATTTCGCTTGTGGCGGCGACGACAGCGCCGCTACATCACCCCCCTGCTCAGACCGGAGGTCGATAGTGCAGCCTCGTTGCCGACGAATGTGCAAGTGCCAGGAGATTGCCTTGTAGTCTGCGGTGAGTCGAGAAGAAGGCAAGTAATCTGCGAGAGTGCCGTGAAGCAGAGGCGAGCACTAAGGCTCAGAGCCGTGCCGAACACTGTGGCGCAGAGAGTAGCTTGAAGGAACAGGAAGCATTATTATTCCAGTGCTGCGATGGACCTTGTGAAGCTAGATGGCTTGCAGGATATGAAGACTGCAGACGATATTTGCTCGGGAGCGAATGGGTGGGGTATTCTATGACGATAATGAAGCTTGAAGTTTCCGAAGGTTGTTTGGTTACGTGTTCAGATCACGTCGGGGTCACCACTGTGGCCGTGGAAGGAAAAGGGGAGATCTCCCGCCGGGCAAGGTGTTCTGCCCGGGGAGCGGCCGACACTCCAAGTGATAGTTCGGAGAAGTTCTATATATACTGTCTATGATTCGGAATGTTGATAGCGTGATTTAGGCTTCTGTGTTTCGCTTGTGGCGGCGACGACAGCGCCGCTACAGTTAATATTCAAGCTTTCACTTCTGCCGGCACTCCCGGAGTGCAACCCGTCGTTTTTTTTTTTAACAAAAAGTTCCTGAGAACTTGAATTTGACTTTGCTACTGATAGCAACCCGGAGTCAAAACGTATTGCGGTGTTTCACACCAGTGCTTCAGAAAGTACCTACGTAAACCTTCGGTCGTGTCGGATCGCCGTCCTATCAGACTATGAGATAGGTAGGGAGTGCACCCATAGAATAGGAGTCACGTTGTGATTCATAAGAAATTCGGTCTTGAGAACATTTCCCTCTTTGTACTCTCTTCGCACTTGATAGTAAAACAAACTCTATTCATCTTTGTCTGGAAAGAGAAATGTAATAGCCTTTATGTACGCATTTTGCATAACGAAGCAAACCATTTGGTTCGAATGCGTGGCATCTCCACAACAAAAGAATGGAGACTAACCGAACGTTTTGTTGTCCAATGGTGGTGAAAGAGAAATTAATTAATTTATGAAATTCCTGCGCACGCTCAGAATTATATCCTGTAGAGCACATTGCGCCTGTGACTCCTTATATCTATAATTATATCGAAGTAATGTTTTATTGTTTTATAGCTCAGAGACTGTATGAAAAATAGTTACAAAACTATTATGAAATAAAATTGGTTGTTTTTTCACAGGTTATCACGATCCAAAGATACGCGCGCGGTTTCCTTGCGAGACTGCGAGTAAAGAAAATGAAGAGACAGATTGTAATTGCACAAGCTGCTGTGAGTTATGTTAACTTGTCTTAAAATACTTATTTCTACTAAGTAATAAATATTATTCCATTGTACTTCATTTCATTACCATTATCAGAAGTATTATATGAAGTTTGTTTTAAAAAAAATAAGAATAGTTTACACATTTTGCTATAAGTAAATAATATTCTGTATACCTTTATTTAATAACCTTACGTATATCGCGTGTATGTATGTATCTCAGATATTTGCTTTTTTTAAATATTTTTAGTTAAATGTTAACCACTACAAGAAAGTTTTAAATATTTGTGTTAGGCGTAATTATATTAGTGGTATTAGGGTCGTAATTTTTTAATAAAATAATGTGGCCTAATGATTTTACATTCACCAGATGACGCTAGAGACTGAGGTGAATTTTCGTGTTACACAATGTGATTTAAGGCCGAATACGAAACGATTGACTTTGCCCGTTTCGCGGTGCGTTACGCGCCATCTATCTAACATCACATACGTTAGCCGTACGAGTGCGCTAGCTCGGTATGCAGAGTAATGAACAACAGAGAGAGAGCATTGCTTACTTTTTAATTAAATCTTTCTTATTTATAATAAAATCCTATAGATTATAAATTCTGTACTTTATTCGTTACAAACATACAAAAATAAGAATCTTTCCTCTTTAAAATATTAGTATAGATTATATGTCCTGTAAAGTACGGGGACAAGAAATAAATGTACCTTTCCAATTAGGGAAATAGGTGATGACTACATTTTTACAAGGTTTTATTTAGCTTCACCTGTCCGGTTTTCGGTCTGTCTGTGTCTGTAATAGAATCTTGCAAGTTAAATTTAACCTACTTTTCGCTGTCCGATTGAGCTGAACTATTGTATGGACTTATAAGTTGGATGACAATCCAACGTCATGTCAAATATATAAGTCCCTATTTGCTCCATAGTGGGGGTAGGTATTGTGTGTGTAAATTCTTATAAGACTACTCCGACCGGTCAATCACTTCACACCCGTAGTATGTCGATTTTTCTTAATTTTGTACTTACCCCATACTTTCGGACAATACATTGACAATGACATTATTTGCGGTCAATGTGCTTGCAATACTCTGTACTTTACTTTCCGACTCGGTCGAGATATTTACATTTTTAGAGTTTCTAACTTGCTTAGAACTGTTTAAATGATCAGTTGGGCTAATGTAAATTAGTGAAAATGCAGCCTATTAGGCAGCCTCCAACAAAAAAGTACCTTCCAAAAAAACCTCAAAATGGAACTTACCACATTCGAGCAGCGTTTTTGCTATAAACTCTCTATGTTTTACCAGTTAGGTAATATTTATTTCTTTCCTTATCCTATAAAAATATTACTAAATTAACGATTTCCAATACAGACAGACACAAGTGACTGTTGTCACCTAACGCCATACATCGAAGCGCTTTGTAATTTATGACTTTTATCTGGCAATATACAATATTATTATTAGGCGTTTGTAATTAAAACGAATTATGTTAATAATTTTTTTTATCAAAAATGAGGAAAGCCTTCGGAATCACAATACAAATATTTTTACGTAAAAATATTTTTTTCTAAATTTATATTCACAGAGTTTTAATTTTGTTTTCAAAAAATAATTTTAAATGTCATTTCTTAACGTTTTTATTTATTGGTATATTGATTTATTTTAAAATTTTAAAAAGGTCCCTTGTGAAGGAACCTAACAAACCTAGAAAATATGTTTTAACGCTTAGAATTACTTCAGGTGAAAGTTCTAGTGAACAGAAATACATGAAGTTTCGCTAGTTCTCTCCGTATTCGGCCTTAATATTGTTGACCGATTTTCATGATTCTTTTTTGTGTGAACCGATTTTGTTGATATATTTTGTCAATATTTTTTTTATTTGAAAGCTGGTGCTTCTCATGTAGTCCTATATAAATTTGATCAAGATTATACCATTACTTTTTAAGTTTTCCTTAATAATGCGTAATTCATTAACTTCGACTTCATTGATGGTGTTCTCATTTTATTTATATTTGAGTAGGTTGTACAAATTTTTTAATTTTGCGACTTGTGAAGTAGTAAAATGCATAAAATTGTTATCAATTTTAACCACTCATCTGGGCCGCGGAAGAATCAATGGGTTTTTCTCAGTTTTGAATTCTTGGCCCCTTTCTGTTCCCAGTGTATTGTCTATTTTTATGTTTATTTGTAAAGTTTAGTAAGTTCGCTGTTAACCGTATGATGTTTTGTGCAGGTGCGTCGTTTCCTCGCGCGGCGGCAATACAAGCGGCTGCGGATCGAGGCGCGCAGCCTGGACCACGTGAAGAGCCTCAACAAGGGGCTGGAGAACAAGATCATCAGCCTACAACAGCGGCTAGGCGACGCCCTAGAGCGCGCCCGCGCTCTGGAGCCGCTGCAGACGCAGCTCGCAGACCTCAGGTAGCCGCTGCGTCACCTCACCTCCTCACTAACTCAACAAATCATCACCTCACCTTTACCAGCTCACTACTTCACATCAGCAGCTGCGCCCAATCAAAGTAGACCCTGGCCCAGTTGACGTAATTATAAAAAATCGTCTCGACGACGTCTGAAAGTCGACTGGGCTGGGGCCTATAGTAACCCAACTCGACAAGCAACCGAGGGGAGGGCCCAAATGGCCTATGGATAATTAATTTATAGCGGCTGGATAAGCAAGCACAAACTTACCGAGTTCCGGAGGTAGGGTCGACCACAAGGTGCCGTCAGGGGCAAGTAAATGGTGTGTGTGTGTGTGGTGTAGGAAGGTATGTAATGTAACCTGACGTCACCGATGTAATCGGATAGCAGAACCACATGCGTTGCCCAGCTCCATGAGGTGCAATCACTCCATTGGGCGTTTGCCGTTATCGGAACTCAAGTCCAATGTCACTTAGCACAAATATAAGCGAAGAGAACGCGATCTCCCGATCACAAAGTCTAGCGTTCAACCGACAAAGCAAAATTCCTTCGTACGATATTAAAGTACTACACAAGCCATACGTCGACGAAAATTAATGGCAATCGAAGTTACATTAGTCACTCAATACTCAAGGAAAGCCTTGTTGTCACGTAGACGTACAAAATAAGACAACACAAAGGAGGCCGTCGTAATGCGACGTAACGATTCTTACGTGACTCCCGACATCTAACCGGCACGGCCGTCGCGTACAAACGAATGTTCTAGACTAATTGCCCGATCTCCCACCGGCACGGCCGTAGCGCGCAAAGATTCTTCCTTCTGGCACCGCCGTATGCGCAAAGCGAATGCCCCCCGCGCAACCCGCCAAACCGGTTCCTCGCCCGGGACGAGAGCCTTGCAAGTTTCAGGATGCCACGATTTGACGTAAACAAAGTCGTTTAGAAGTTACGCGATCACTAACACGATTTACAAGTAAAAACTAGATGTGCCCTACATGCCTTACAATGCCTCTTATTTTGTCATAAACCTTCGAGAGGTCAACAATTTGCTAAGGTTTCATTGTAACTGGGTGAATATTACAAGAACTTTTACGTGGTAGAGCCACGCTGCTTCTATTTTATAGTTGTAGCACGAATGGGTCGGCTCGACCGGGACAGGACCACGCTCTCACAGAATACCAGCGTCAAATAGCAGTTCTCCACACTCACCATACGAAATATAAATATACGAATCGGAGACCCTTTTTACTGGAGTCGAAGCATTCCATCTTAATCCTCAGAGGTGACAACGCGTTTGCATTACGATCCTTAGTTGACGTTAAATGTGGATGTCTGTGGGCCACAGCATCCACTTATATGAGATAATTTGGACTTGAAGACGTGAGATATAAGATGTGACTTGAGATGGTTAATGGAATTTGGGACGTAGTTGTTGCGAGGAGTCGGGTTTTTTTGTCTATTATATAATAATAATTAAAATTACTATTACAGCCTAACATAAGTCCACTGCTGAACATAGGCCTCCCCCATAGATTGCCTCATGGGGGATATTTTGACATAGTTGTCAATTTGGCAACTGCAGTTTTTTATTTTTCCTCAGCTGTTATCAGAAAAATACTGCTACTTTCTCCTGGTTCAGTTTTCATCTGCTCTTACTACACGCACGGGATGATATGGAATAGTGGATATGCTTACACCGCCAGTAAACGGTTAATAATAACAATTAACAAACTTTTTTTATTTCTCCCATACACTTTTACATGTATAATATAAACAATATAGTTAATTGCTTTCTCAACTCCGAATTTTATATTTTTGCAGACGACCTTAAAGTGTTAAGTCCAATAAGAAAAATATAAATGATTGTTACTCCAAGAAGACATTGTTAGATTGTGTAATTGGTTTAGAGATAATAAAATGCTGTTAAATGTGAATAAGTTTCACGTTATTATTTTCTCATGTTTCAAAGAAACACACTTAGAACCGGCTTACTTTTGCGAGATCTTGACGTTATAATTGACAGCAGATTAAGTTTTTATACTCACTAGATGATATCATAAACATGCCCTCCAAAAGGTTGGGTTTTATTAAGCAAAATACTAGACAATTTAAGCATCCTAGAAATATTACTATACAATACATTAGTTAAGGCTATCCTGGAATACTTACCTGTAGTCTGGTATTCCAAACTGACGAGGTTTAGGGGGTAAGGGAAAGAAACCGGCGGACGATGCGGACGGTATCGAGGAGCACCGCCTTCTGCTTTTGAGCCCGGAGCGGTCCGTCAGGGAGTCCCAGCCGCCTCATATGACCTAAGAGGCTGACTGGGGTTAGCCCGTTTGCAGAAACGACTACAGGAATAATTTCGGTCGGCAGAACACTTCTCGGTCAGCTCGTGAGCCAGGTCCAGATATTTTGTTTGCTTATCTGTTTCGGCTTTCACTAGTTTCTCGTCATACAGAATGGTAAGTAATGTCGACCAAAAATATCCTTGACTGTGCCCGGTCTATCAGCACAATATCAGGCTTATTCGCAAGAATAGTCCTGTCTATGATGATGGCCCGGTCCCAGCCTAACGCGATCATTTTCGAGCACGGCTTCCGGAAAGTACTTGTAATACGGCAATTTCCGATTCACAAGACCGTATATCCGAGCAAAGAATTTTGACTACTAGGTTGTGCCTGTGAAAGTATTCATAGAGAGAAAGTGCCGAACAACCGGAGATAACATGCCTAAGTGACTCACCGGGATTATTTTTAATGGGATGGGATGGCGACAAGTTCGACAGATGTCAACGATACCATCCTTTAGGATGTATCTCCAATAATTGTTGGTCTTATAACCTGATCCTGCATTGCACAGACAAAACCCTCGGTTTCTCCGAAGAGGTCTCCAAAGCGTGCCAAAAAGCCAGTGGAGGGAGACTATTGTGGCTACGAAAAGCTCATGGGGAGCTTTGTAGAACCTCCCGTGGAGCTTTTTTTTTCTTTATTGATCCTCCTCCTTCTCCTCCTTACTTTATTGAGCTCCGTCTCCTTCTATACGGTCTTCCGGTCAGCAACGCTATGTACTGCTGGGTTCTGCCATTGCTCGTTGGCTATATATATAGGACAGAGGTTTAGTCCTTTATTACAAGAAATGACAGCCTTATGAATAAATCATCCGATCTCGTCAGGAAGTAATTACAGAGGCTGCACACTTCGCGATTATGCATGGTGAGCGCGATTAAAAAGCCTTTCTCACCATACTTTTACACGGCAAGGAAAGCCCCATTATCGACGATCTCGGATGATGCACTCTATGGTATGTCATGGTAGTGCGGACTTTTCTATCCAGGGCGTTAAGTTCAGTCCGAGACCACCTGGGTATGCGAAAGGTGTTAGGACAGGTATGACCGAACCGTTATATGCGTTTGTCTTATTCACACTGGACAAAAGGCTTTTAAGTACTTTGGTCAAGCGTGCATAAAACACGTCGCAAACTGACTGTTTCATACCAGCCTCATCGATACCGATGTTCTGTAACATACCCAGGTATCGGTATGTTTTAGACTCGGAAAGGGTATTTAAGTTGACGGATATAGATACATCTATGCGCGCAGAGTTAGCAACCCCTCTCTTTTCAATATGGAGAACCGCACACTTATCCGTCCCCGGCTCCATTCTCGCTAAAATCACAAGTGATGTTTAACAATCCCACAAGACTGGAAGCGAGTAACTTGAGGTCAACCATATAGCTGAAATCCCCTCCCGGAGCCCTCCAGTAAAGTACTGAGAGAGTTCAAAGAGAGGCAGAACCAGATTGGACTCAGACAGTTGCCCTGGAATATACCCCTTCTTATCCTTATGCGGCTTTCCGCAGCCGTCATCCGCTCGCCCAGATGACAAAGGATCATACTCCACTGCCCCATACACTGCTCGAGGAAGTCTCTAACTGTACAGTCAATCTTGTACACTGACTCTTTAGCCAAAAAATATGGGCGGGTACCGAGTCGAATGCTTTTCTGTAGTCTATCCAGGCGGCAAAGAAGTTCCGACGGTTATTATTATTATTATATAGACCATTAGCGTTAAATCCACAAACTGTAGTAGGTAAATCCTGTTTTCGTATATAGTTATTAGCAAGTTATTGTCTGTTCTTTTTTTTAAATCACTTTGCTATTTATGTAAGTTGTAGTTACCTGTAAGAGTATGAGCACTTCGCATGTAGCCATTGCAGAATTAAGTTAAATTTTGGTTAGTGTTGTGTATCATCTTTTGGTGATCGAAATAAAGAAAAGAAAAAATATCTGGTTACTTTTATATTAGTATTTTATATATAAATAACGACCCGCCGTGGTTTCGCTTGTGTACAATCTATTTAGATTAAAAAAAATGGAAAACCATTGACAAAAAGAAACCTTGAGGACTAAGATGCCTCACTTCCAGTGAAAAGGGTTCCTGGTTTTCTTCACTTACCACACGAAACACAGCAGCATTAAGCAGCTATTTTACGCCGGTATTCTGTGAGAACACGGTCTTCCCTAAACCTTTGATTTCTGCTAGTTTTAAACATGCCATTTTAACACTGCAATCTTCAAAGTTCATCAACTATATTATCTTTTTCCCATGGAATAATTATAAATAAACTTATTTTAATTTTTCCTACTCAGGGCTAAACTTGAACTCCTAAAACTAGTAGAGATTGAAGCAAAGACTCTAAAAATAGACATTCAAGATAAGGACAGTTTGATCGCTTCGTTGCAAGCTGAGTTAAGTAGTGAACGGGACAGCAAAAAGCGGCTCGTGGAAGAGAAGAAAGAAGTCGAGAACACATACATTAAGCACAAGGACCTATGGCTGGAAGAAAGCAAAAAATTAGCAGATGAGCTCAAAAGTACGAAGGAACATTATGAAATGGCTATTGAAGGTAAGAAATTAAAAACTTTTATTTGTACTTTACCAGCAATGTGCCAGTAGTTTTTTTTTTTAATATTACTTTGAAGCCAAGTGAAGCCAGTTTTACGATATTCTTATGTGCGGAGTGAATAAAAATGCCGATTAAGATGAAAAATAGATGTATTTTTCTATACTCAGCAAGATTATAAATCCGTCGTCTAAAATCGCTAAGCTACTTCGGTGAGGTACTTAAAATAATCGCATATGTGGTAGGTCGAATTCTCATTCTCGGAGTAAAGTTCACTTTCGTGTTCCGGAATCGACTAACTTCCCGCTCTCTGCACACGCCTTTACACACGATAACTCCACTTGTTCACTCCAACGTTCCACTCTTACGACCAGAAAGTACTAGAACAACCGAGATCACATAAGATAAATATATCCACAGGAGAAGAGTTGGTGTTATCGGTGTGGGGTCTAAAACGTATCCTTGTTGGGAAGAAGTAAGGTTGCAAAGAAGAAAACAAAATTCACTTTCCAGATGTAACAGCGTTTACAGTACATACAGTAAATGCAGTTTAAACATTTGTCGACCAAAATTTGTAGTGAGCATAACGCTTAACGCTAAACATTGTATTTGTCTCTAATCATCTATTTTTAAACAAAAAATGAAATAAAAACCTGACCACATTGGAACTCGCGCACTACGGTGTGATAGCTCTACGTTCTAGCCAAGTACACTGTTGAGAAGCTAATCTTTGTGGCGAAATTCCAATCATAAAGAAAATTACAATCCATTAAAAAAATAATCACCGTAAAGAATCCATCTTAGGGTGGGACACTATAGAAACATTATATGGCTCAAGATACCTTAGTGGATATTAGGTACCTATAAAATATATACATACTTCTTGTTTGAAATATCAACGTTGAAGTAAAACGAGTGTCTCAAAGGATTACAGGTTCATTGCAATTCTTGGAATAAAATAATTTAAAATAAAGTGAAAGATGAATTTCCAATCGTAACGCCCAACGCCCAATAATGAAATTAAGAGTTGGTGATTGCCTTGTTGCAATAATATTAATTGCCCTGCCTAATTGCAATAATATTATTTAAAACGATGAAGTTTAATTTGATTTAATTGCAATACGTAATGCGTGGAATTTAATAGGCTGTAACGGTAACACGTAATAAGTTTTTTTTTGATAAGATTAGTGGTTATTAAAAATTAATTAATAATAATTAAAGTGTATGTGTTGAATTGTACTTGGGGTGAAAAGTCGGAAGAACAAATAAAAGTGAATTCGAAATGTTAAAATCTGTCTGATCCTATTATCCACCCAGACGCGGTGGATAATCGGATCGGACCGATTTTTACGCGCACGCACACATTCGTAAGGGTCAGTCGGTATGCAAAAACGTTGTTGCCCATAAATCACATTCAATTTGGGATAATTTCAAATTAGAGTAGAAGCCTTATTTACTCGCATTTTCAAAAACTACATTATCTGTATATTATTATTTATATATTTGAACTAAGTTTAAAATTTGGCTACTCTTTGAAAAATAACCCTGTATATTGCTCGATAGGATTTATACAACATAATAATTTAAAGCAATCGATTAGATAACGCTAACTAGATATGGCTTGTTGATAAATACCCTGTAGTATTAGATAAAATTAATTACGAAATTATCTATAACAGTCGATACAGCAAATTTAGGTCGCTGCTTGAAAACAATTCACTTTTCATATTTAACATTAGATCCTTTTTAGATCAATGTATATTTTACACAAAAATTTAAAAAATATTATCCGTCCGTGAGCACAAAAATACATTAATTAATGAAAACATAGTGAATGTTTCTGTAGTTATTTATTACTTTACCCATAAATTATATTTCCTAGACGAAAAATATGTGTACAAAATCTGGACGTTAATGCCTTTAGTATTTTTTAATTATTGTATTTTACCAGTGTATTTTTAAATAGCCGTTCTTAATATTTGAGATAATATATTTGTAGAGAATTTTCTTTTGTTACCAACTAAAATTTTCCTTAATATGACAATATTAAGGAAAATTTAAAGTGATAAATAAAATTAAAAGTGATAAATGTTCTCAAATAACCCCGTTTTCTGCAGGGAATAGTTGCATTTAGATAAGCCAAAGTAAGTGATGTGTGTTTTTGAATCTATGTATTATCGAGGAATCTGACGATGTGCCAGCTAAACATAATACTAGAGGGGAGTCTAAAGTATTTGAAACGCGCTTACAATTTCGAAAAGGTTTGTTTTTGTTAGATATTGTGGTACATACCCTTCGGCAAATTTTACAGAAGTCCGAAGAGTACAATCTGCCACTTTGCCTGGCGTGTGTGGACTATGAGAAAGCCTTAGATTCCGTCGAAATTTGGGCGGTTGTGGCGGAAAGTTGACTATCGGTATATCGAAGTGCTGAAGTGTTTGAACATTAGGGCTACGATGGCTATCCGAGTACAGAACCAGAGTACGAAACCTATCCAACTGCAGAGAGGTGTAAGACAGGGTGACGTTATTTCCCCGAAACTCTTCACCGCTGCATTGGAAGATGTTTTTAAGCTACTGGACTGGAAAGTATACGGTATTAACATCAATGGCGAGTACATCACTCACCGTCGATTTGCCGACGATATAGTCCTTATGGCAGAATCGCTGGAGGACTTAAGCACTATGCTCAATGACCTCAATAGTGCCTCCCAACGGATAGGTCTTAAGATGAACATGGACAAAACAAAGATCATGTTTAATGGCCATGTCAGACCTATGCCGGTAGTTGTTGGGAGCACTAAGCTCGAAGTTGTTGACGAGTACGTTTACCTGGAACAAATAGTCCGACTAGGTAAGTCCAACTTCGACCGAGAGGTCAATCGACGGATTCAATTCGGCTGGGCAGCGTTCGGGAAATTACGACACATCTTCTCGTCAGGTATACCTCAAAACCTGAAAACTAAGTTGTACAACCAGTGAGTGTTGCCAGTGATGACCTACGGAATCGAGACGTGGTCCTTCACTACTGGCCGTATGAGGACGCTCAAAGTCGCTCAGCGAGCTATGGAGAGGGCTATGCTCGGAGTTTCTCTGCTTGATATATTTAGAAATGAGGATATCCGCAGTAGAACCAGAGTGACCGACATAGCCCAACGGATTAGTAAGCTGAAGTGACAATGGGCCGGCCATATAGCTCGAAGAACCGATAACCGTTGGGGAAGAAGGGTTCTCGAGTGGTAGCCTCGTACCGGTGGGCGAAGTGTAGTGCGACCCCCCACTAGATGGAGTGACCTGGTAAGACATGCAGGAAGTCAATGGATGCAGGTGGCTCAGGACCGTGCTTTGTGGCACACTTTGGGGGAAGCCTATATTCAGCAGTGGACTTGTGAAGGGCTGTAATGATGATGATGATGAGATATTGTGGCAAATCGTTATTTAAAATATGCTGTTTTTAGAGTGATTGTGTCGCCAATACACATTTACATTTACATAAATGTATACGTCGCTTTTAATAAAACGGATTTCTGGATCTCTACATGTGTCATACTAACACATATGAAATTTTTGTGGTTTTCTGATCGAGTCGACCCGTTATTGCTGCAGCGTTGCGTGACTCTACTGTGTTGAAAATGCAATTCGTAGGTTATCTCAGACATATTTCTGATTTTAAATTGACACAGCGTATTTTGTTATGTGTTGTTCGATAGCACTAAACATTGGCAATCGGGCAAATTATAATTTAAATAGAAGCTGCGGACGTAATGGCCTTAGTACTAATTGGGATGACATGGGACCTATAGCCGTTTACCGTGTTGTGGTGGTGTAAGAATATCCACTATCCCATATCATCCAGTGGGTGTAGTAAGAAGCAGGTAGATAAGGCAGCAGCGTCTTCCTAATCATCATCATCATTACAACCCTTCACAAGTTTACTGCTGAACAAAGGCCTCGCCTCGCCCGCTCCGTCGCGCTCGCCTTTTACGACACCCACGTGAAGATATGGGGTAGTGGATATTCTTAACCGCCACTAACTCCTAAAACGACTAAAAATAAAAAACTGCGTTTGCCAAACCGCTTGCCAAGCGTGGAAACTATGGAAATTTTCCCGCTATGAGGCAATATATGTGTCGCATATATAATGACTTATTGATTAATAATAGCAAAAAATATAGACATTTTTAATAACAAATTAAACAATTTCAAAAAATCCGTATTAGATATATTTTATAAATAAGGCATTCAAGGCTTAAAATTTAAATTTAAATGTATAGGTAAAAGAACATTATTTTAATAGAGATTTAATTTTTCAAAATTTTCCACAACATAAATTCATAAGTATAGTACTTTTATAAGTAAGGTTATAATTATTTGTGCTGTAAAATCGTTACTGTTACTTAATGTCATGTTGTGTGCACACGTTTTGGAATACCATCCAGATTGTAACCTTGTATTTATTATTTTCAATTGTTCATGTTTTGGTGTTATTCTGTTTTGTGTACCTAAATAAATAAATAAATGAAATAAATAAATAAATCTATTGGGGAGGCCTATGTTCAGCAGTGGATTTCTCTCAGCTGTAACGGTACAGTAAAGGAATCTATAAGTCCCAGACCAACATGGGGCATTAACATTGACAGCAGTACGCTTAGCCGTCGGGCTACCGAGTCGTTTGTAGAATAAGCTGGTATACTCCCAGTACTCGTACATCCCCTCTTTAATGATTTAATATAACATTTAACATCAACCACCAACTATTTTAGAACGCGACAAACAGCACGAAGCGGAGAAGAGCGCACTTTGCGCAGAACTAGAAGCTGAAAGGCAGAGTCGGCAGAAACTGCTTTCATCACAGTATGAGCTACAGGAAAGACTCGACGCTATGCAAAGGTGTGAAAAGTGTTATTAAATTTTATTTTATTATCTTACTAGCGATCCGCCCTGGCTTTACACTAGGGATAGGCCGAATATGGATTTCACCGAATACGAATATTCGGCCGAACGTTCGGAAATTTTTTTACCGAACCGAATATTCGGCCGAACATTATTCGACAGGATTACCTCGGTACCTAACCCATTTATGTCGAAACTTGTTACCGTGTAAGCGCACAGGATCCTGCCTCTCGTTCCCCGCCACACCTGACAGTTATTGCATCATCTAGTACTGAGCAAATTGCCGGCACATGCTTAATATGTTTTGACTATTCTTGTGATAAAAAAAAGTATTCTTAGTGAAAATTGATAATTATGTGATGAAAATGAGTGTGAGTGAGGCAGGAGATCTACTATTTGGACCAATTTAAGAGAAACTGACGACTGTAATGTAATGTTTCTTTGTTCGATTCCAAACAAAATTTTATCAAGCTTTCTATTTGCTATAATTGGAAATAAATCTACAGTGCCTCAAAACATATCGTTATACGAGTATATTTAACCCATAAATAAATATACTTTCAACAGTAAAATTATGAAACACATGGCATTACTCAATTCGTACATTTCCATACAGTGGATACTTTGAGTACAACTTTAACGAATATTCGGTGATTTAGCCGAATATTCGGCCAAATACGAATATTCGGTAAACCTGCCGAATATGCCAAATACTGAATATAAAACGAATATTCGGCCCACCTCTACTTTACACGAGTAATTTCGGGATTCTGGACAACGGCACCATGTACCCGGTACAATTGTGAATGATCCGTCCAGGGACCATAAAAAAATCCATTAAAATCAGTCCAGCGGTGTTTAACTGATAATCTTTCATACATGCGGCAATTGATTTTTATTTATTTAGACTGTTGGACTACCGTGTCGCAAGTAAAAGGCGACAGAGGGACATTGAAATAGGATTGGTGCTAGTATCTTGTTGATGACTTAAAATACAAAGATTCTGGTTGTCAACCCGTCTGCCTGCAAGCTGGGCAACTAGGCTCACCCCGTATGAGATTAACCTGTAGGATCTTTTAAAGGCAGTAATGGATGCTGGATGGAATGAATTATGCATACGATCTGCACTAGCTGGCCAGGCAGATATTTTTTACGTGGTAGAGCCATGCTGCACGTATTTAGTAGTATAGTTGTAGCACGAATGGGTCGGCTCGACCGGAAAGGGACCACGCTCTCACAGAATACCAGCGTCAAATAGTAGCTTAATGCTGCTGTGTTTCGTATGGTGAGTGTAGAGAACCGGAGACCCATTTTTACTGGAAACGAGGCATTTCACTTAAGTCCTCACGGGTGATAACGCATCTGCATTTTTATTCGTAATCGAGGATAGATGTAGATATCTATGGGCCACAGCAACCACTTACCATCAGGTGGACTGTGTGCACGTTTGTCACCCTATCCTATAAAAAAAAATATTGTTCTGTCCTTTCCGACGACCCTTCCTCTAAAATTTTTTTAAATTCGCAATAAAATATATTGAGGGTCACTTATCGGGGTAGAAACTATCGTATCTCTCATGTAAGACCAAACTGCTTGCAGTGTGCTAAATTCCATTGAAATCAGAGTTCATCGCGTACAAACAATGTGATACGTATTTTTCTTTATATTTAAAGAAGATTATATTTAATATTTAATTTATATGCACTAGTACACTCGCATTTTTTCGTTTTAAGTTAATTAATGGCACACTAACATGACAACCTAAAATTGTTAATTGCCCTTTCAAGTGCTATTTATTACATGTTCGGCGGTGAAGAAAATTCGAAACCAATTATTGTTGGTATTAACGTGGGCGTTTTACATACATGAACAAAGAAAGTTTTTTGCTTCTTTAGCTTTACTTCATTAACTTTTTTTAATTATATTTATATATATATATATATATATATATATATATATATTTATATATATATTAATATTACTGCTTTAAGCCAGCTTAAATAGTACTATAATAGAACGGAACCATAATAGCCTGTTTTGTGCAGGGCACCGCCGACCAAAGAGCACAGAAGGTCATTTTCTGACGCCAGCAACGTTTCGCAGCAGGAGACGACAGTTGAAGATGTGAGCTATTTTTTATACAATATACAATGACAATTTGTTGTTATTAATTCTATATAATAATAATATTGCAGTTGTTTACCCTTAATAATTAAGATTATGTTTCCTTTCATGTAAATTTGATTCGTATAAACTTTTTCGCAACTGTCATTATTAAATTCATTCAAAATAATGTCTAACAATAATAATAATAATAAGCTTTTTATTTGTCTCAGTTTACACATGTTATTAAGAATGTACAAATAAAAATCATCACAAACTTAATTTAGAAACATACTTAAGTAATATAGCAGTAATGAGACAAACTGGCCTGTGACTCAGCTATGTGGTGATTTTAGATCACCGCTGGTATTCTGCCACAGCCGACTATTAAAAAAATAACAGTATCTTAACCTAATTTTGACATTGATGTAATACAACTAAAGAATGGACTAAAATGTTTATTATATATGTATATGTAGTATGTTATATGTATATACAAATATAATATGTGTTTATCGATAATGCTTACTGTAGTGTCGGTGTAAGAATATCCACTACCCCATATCGTTCCGTAGCTATCGTGTCTGTCGTAATATACGTCGCGTTATGTTGTTGCAGGACTATGGGTACGGGTCGGTGCGGTCGGTGGAGACGTCGCGGCCGGCGCTGGAGGCCGTCAACTGGGCCGCCGGACAGCACAGCGGACCCACGCCCGTACGCACTACACTCACTCACACACTGCACCCATCTACTACACTGCACTCACTCATCATACTACACTTACCACACTGCACTCATTTACTACAATACACTCACCTACTTCACAGCACTAACTCACCACACTGCACTCACTTACTACACTCACTCTGCACTCACTCACCATACTACACGTAAGTTACATTGCACTTACAACACCGAAACTCACTCACCATACTAAACTCAACCAGCACTCGACCAGAGTAGAACTACGCTCTCACAGAATACCAGATTAAAATAGCAGCTTAACACTGCTGTGTTTCGTATAGTGAATGTAAAGAACCAGAGACCCTTTTACTGTAAACGAGACATTCCATTTAAGTTCTCAGGGGTGACAGCGCATCTGCATTCACTACACTTACTCACCACATTGTACTCACTCACAACACTGAAACTCACTCACCACACTGCACTCACTCACTACGCTGCATTCGCCTGCCTTCCTGCATTTACCCACCTTATTGCACACTGCGCTCTTCACTGCGCGAACATACCTCACTGTACACTACTTACTGGTTGTAGTTCGAATGGATCGACTCGACCAGGGTAGGCAACGCTCTCACAGAATACCAGGGTAAAATAGCAGCTTAAAACTGCTGTGTTTCGTATGGTGAATATAAAGAACCAGAGACCCTTTTACTGTAAACGAGACATTCCATTTAAGTTCTCAGGGGTGACAGCGTATCTGCATTCACTACACTTACTCACCACATTGTACTCACTCACAACACCGAAACTCACTCACCACACTGCACTCACTCACTACGCTGCATTCGCCTGCCTTCCTGCATTTACCCACCTTATTGCACACTGCGCTCTTCACTGCGCGAACATACGTCACTGTACACTGCTTACTGGTTGTAGTTCGAATGGATCGACTCGACCAGGGTAGGACTACGCTCTCACAGAATACCAGGGTAAAATAGCAGCTTAATACTGCTGTTGTTTTTCATATAATGAATAGGTGAATGTAAAGAACCGGAGACCCTTTTACTGTAAACGGGGCATTCCATCTAAGTCCTCAGGGGTGACCGCGTATCTGCATTTTAATTCTTAATCGAGAATAGACGTAGATGTGTATGAGCATCATCCACGTAACATCATGTGGACTGTGTTCTTGTTATTTCATACTTTTTGTTCTATAAAAACAATATCTGGCAGTGTGTAATGTTGCAACAGATCGCGGACGCCGGGCTGGTGCTGCGCATGCAGAACAGGATCTCGGCTCTGCAGAGCGAACTGTCCAGGACCTCCAAGCGCGCTTACGACCTGGAGGAGCGCCTCCTGAGTGAGACTTGAATTATATTCTACTTTTTCCATTCATTATACGAGGGCGGCACTGAAAATTCGGGAATCAAGGAAGAGACACAACATTACTATTTAAAAATGTATTTATTGCTTTTCGAAGTATTCTCCGCGAAATTTGACACATTTTTCCATACGATGGAACTAATCATTGAAGCAACCATTCCATTCGGAAGTTGGGGTCTCCAAAATGGCCGTTTTGTAGGCGTTCACAGCTTCTTCAGGTGATGAAAATCTATGTTTTCTTGCTCTAAAAACTCTTTTGTTCTGTGTGCAGTGTGAGAACTCGCATTGTCATGATGGAGGATGATGCGGCGGTTGCAGTTCTCTTTACGGAGTTCAGAAACGACCTGTGGCAAACAAATGCTAGTATACCATTCTGCATTAACCGTTCTTTGTCCCTCAAGAGGAATAGTCGTAACATGGCCGGTTTTGGAGACAAACGTGGCCACCATTTTTTTTGCAACACTCCGTGAACGAACAATTTTTGTTGGCTTCAACTCATTTTCGAACACCCAAACTCGTTACTGGTTTTTTGTTTCGGGTTCGTACGCATATATCCAGGATTCGTCACCTGATACGATGTTGTATACATCATTTGAGGATCCTGCGTGGAATCTTTCGAGAGTTCTGACGCACCAAGTAACGAGCTTTTTGCTCTTCACAGAGCGAATGCGGTATCCATCGGGAAAACAACTTTTTTACACCTAATTGTTCATGCAAGATTATTTGTATTTGACTCATGCCAATGTCTAAAGTTGCCTGAATTTCGCGGTATGCCACATGTCGATCTTCCTCAATCAGTTTACGCACAGCATCAACGTTTTCTTGGGTGACTGCAGTTTTTGGACGACCTTGACGGGGATCATCACTGAGCTTGACACGTCCACGTTGAAATTCAGCAAACCAGCGATAAATTGTGGTTTTGGATGGGGCTTCATCGCCAAATGCAGAAATCATCCGGCCAACACACCGTTTTTGTGTTAAACCACTTCGAAAGTCATAATAAATCATCGCTCTTGAATTTTCTCGAGTCAATTCCATTTTCTCAACGACTAAACAAGTTTGACAAAACCTTGTGACAAGACTGAGAATCTTTTTTTAAATAAATAAATGGTATTCGATTTTTAAAACCAAGGAGTTTTCAATTAAAAAGATTTTAATATGACAGGAACAGTGGAAATATTCTATTCCCGATACTTTTAGTGCAGCCCTCGTATTAGATTTTGATTGTAGAGGTGATTATGAAAAATGCCAGAAAAATTTCATGGTATGTATGATATAGGTATAGTCATCTCATTTCGACAGAATTAAAATTGGGGAGTAGCGTCAGCGGTGCGAGACATCTGGTATTATCATCGCAATTCTGCCTACCAGACGTGGTTTATGGTCATTTCTCTACCAGGTGAAGCTTATGTCCAGCAGTGGTCATTTACGAGTTGATTAAGAAGTGTTCACTGCTGGACCTGGTTTATTGGTCTGATCTAACAATCACTCCGACTGTCTTCTTTCCGTCGCCAGTCTGGGTATTTTTTTTCAAACATGGTTATATATGTGTTTGAAGCCTGCAAATAGCCCCCTGAGGAGCTAGTTATTTCGATATTGTAGACAGATACTTTAATTTTATTTATGCGTATGGTTGTGAAATTGTTTGTTCGGATGTTTTTGTTTCAATTACGCTAGACAACTGGGCAGGTTATAATAAAATATGACATAGAAGTTGATTGTCCGATTCTTGTTTGAAAGAAACGTTTCGTGAATCCTAAAAAAGTTTTATTGCAAACTATTCTTTCGAAATTTTAAATAAAATGAATATAGTTTTTGCTGCCTTTTGTATACTTATGTAAACGGCTCATGAAGCGAAACGTAGCGTTTATAAAAAATATAGTTACCTGGGATATGTAATGGGTATAGGAAATAGTATATTTTATAATAGTTATTACCAAACTAGTTAGTGTACAAATATTAATTTATTTTGAAAACTCCCCTCGAACGAGCACAGATCGGCTGTCTTCGCCTCCCAGCAACCCCAACACCGACCGCTTCCGCTTGGAGGAGCTGGAGATCGAGAACAAGAAGCTGCGCGAGCACCTGGACCGACTGCGCGCCGCTGGGGACACTCTGCTCGTCTCCAAGGAGGTCATCGGTAAACTATTGCTTCTTTCATTATGGAAAATGAGACAAACGAGCATATAGTTAACCTGATGGTAAGGTGGCACCGTTGCACATGAACATCTGCAAGGCCAGGGGAATCGCAGGTGCGTTGCCGGCTGTTTAGAATGAAGTCAGCTCTTTTCCTAAAGGTCTCTAAGTCGTATTGATTGGAAAAATCGCTGGCGGCACTAAATTCCACAGACACACTTCCTATAAAGACCGATTTACACTTCGACAAGTACAGTAGCGAGTTAACTTGCGACCTGGGCTTGCTTGAACCGATAAGCGAGTTAAGTGCGTAGAGTTAACAATCGATTTGCACTTACAGACGGCGAGTAACTGCGAAGGCGAGTTAAGTAATCTTGTTTGGGCAATAGCTTAGCAAGTTAACAATTAAGACCGATTTACACTTCGACAAGTACAGTAGCGAGTTAACTTGCGAACCTGGCGAGTTAAGTTTGAACCTCGTTTGAACGGCAATAAGCGAGTTAAGTAGCAAGTTAACGATTAAGTTGAACGGGACAGCCGGCCGAGCTGTTTTTCGGCGAGTTAAGTGCGAAGTGCTGTCCTCCCGCGCGTCTCCCGCCACCCGCAACTAAACTCGCCGTTCGTGTAAACGAGCGAGTTTAGTTCAGTGCATAAGTTAACAGGACGCAACGTTTGCGCGCCAAAACGTACAATTGTACTTTTATAATGAAACTCGCTACAAAGTTTGTACGGTAATGTTTATTGAATATTTATACGTTTTATATTGAGTTTTAATAATAAAATGGACAGAAGATATCACTTCTTCACACTATCACACGTACTATAAATTCGTACAGGAGTATTTAGAACACGAATGTTTATATAATAGTAGAAGTTCAAATTGTAAAATTAAACCTGAAGAATTTTCAAAGAATTTTCATGTGTGCAAGAAGAAAAGAATTTTCATCGAGATGCTGCACACATGAAAATTCTTAAAAACTTCTTTAACAACCATTAATACTTCTCTGTTTAGATCATTTAATTCTAGAACCATCTTAAACGAATCTGAAAAAATACTGCAGTCTTGAAACGTCATGCTCCAACGGACTCTATGAACTAATGTCCTTAACTAAACTCGCCACGAAGATATTGTTTGAACGCTACTGCCCACTTAACCGTTTACTGTGAACTGTCCTGTAACTAAACTCGCTACTGTACTTGTCGAAGTGTAAATCGGTCTTTAAGTTGAACGGGATAGCTGGGCTATTTTTCAGCAAGTTAAGTGCGAAGTGTTGCCCTCCCGCAACCGCCCGCAACTAAACTCGCCGCTCGTGTGAACGAGCAAGTTTAGTTTAGTGCATAAGTTGACGAGATGCAAAGTTTGCGCACCAAAACGTATAATTGTACTTTTATAATTAAACTTAATAAAACTTTTATAATTAATTTAAGTTTGTACAGTATTGTTTATTGATTATTTATTAATTGAATATTTTTTAATTATTTCTATACGTTTTATATTGAGTTTTAATAAAGAAATGGACGGAAGATATCACGTATAAATTCGTACAGGAGTATGTAGAACACGAATGTTTATACATATAATAGTAGAAGTTCAAATTGTAAAATTAAACTTGCTCGAGATGCTGCACTCATGAAAATTCTTAAAAACTTCTTTAACAACGACCATTAATACTTCTTTGACTGGATCATTTAATTCTTGAAGTAATCCTAGAACCATCTTAAATGAAAACTGGGAAAATTCTGTAGTCTTGAAACGTCATGCTCCAACGAACTCTATGAACTAATGTCCTTAACTAAACTCGCCACGAAGACATTGTTTGAACGCTACTGCCCACTTAACCGTTTACTGTCAACTGCCCTGTAACTAAACTCGCTACTGTACTTGTCGAAGTGTAAGTCGGTCTTAACATTAACAATAAATGGCTACAGCAGTCCCTCACAGTAAACTTATAATTCGTTTTAAAATAAACTTTAAGCAAGTGGCTTAAGGTGTGTTGTTAGTTTATAACGGAATGGTGTGTAGCTTATTATACCAGCTCTCCCTACCAAAACAGCAGTGAATACAGTTTTGCTTTGCAGCAGAAATATTGTAGTTAATAATTTTGTTGCTGCCCAGACTGACTCCTAGGCAAAACAAAACTTCCTCAGAAAATTTTACATTTTTCATCTGTGCCTGGACCAAGCTATTAATATACAACCATACATTCTTAAATTTCAACCGTAGAAGAATTAATCGAATAAATGTGTACTTGGTACGCCACGCGAATTTGTAAGATATTTAATTTAACGCGTATACACGCAGTAGGACGTAATGAGATTTTAAAATCATTTTTTAAATATTGTCTATCACATATATCAGATGAATGAAAAAAAATCGTTAAAAGTAAATAAAAATTAAATTTAAGTATTATTTTAAACGTATTTTAATACCGTGTATTAAAACTATTTAGCCTTACCGTGCCATGTCGTGGAGCTGTGGTGGCTCAGATGGTTAGTGCTTGCTGAAAATTTTTCCGTACACGAGCAACCCGGGTTCGATCCCCGCCGGCAAATTGTTAATTGCAATTTAAAATGCTGATTCACCGTGCTCGGCGGTGACGGAAAACATCGTGAGAAAACCTGTGATGTCTGAGAAATAAGAAAAAAAATATTTCTAAGAGATGTGAAGTACTCCAAAACGCATTAGGACAGCGCGGCGGACACTTTCTTTCCCTAAAACCATCTCAGAAATGAAGAGTGACCTGTGCCCAGAAGTGGGACGTGGTGGGAAGTGAGCTATAACTAACTATCGACCCAATTGACCTTCGTCTAGTGAAAAGTTATTTATCTACAGCATATGTAAAAATTACTAAAACAGAAAAATATTCCTGTTGCTAATTTAGTTAATGTATTGATTGTGTTATTACCCGTATATGGAATCTGGCGACATGCTATATATGTTATAATTAACTATGCCATATATTTTCCTAGAGCAATTGGGCGTTATGCAAAAAGAATTGGACAGGAGGCGGGACGAGTGCATTCAGTTAAAGAGCGTCCTCACAAATCAGGTATGTGTAAATAAATTACATATATTGTATAGATATTACGTAATATAAACTCTAAATAAAAATAATATAAAGCTTTAGAAATGTAACTATGTGATAACTCAGTGCAATCAATTCCCATAATACTGAGTAATTCCTAAATTTTAAATTATGTTAACTTTATCGTGTTTTTTTCCACAACATGGTTTATAAATAGTTTTGTGTTTAAAAGTTTGGCAAGTTGCAAAACGGATCGTTTTCGACTTGCCAAATTTTTAGATGTTTAGAAAAATGGATTATGTAAGTCTGCTGTACTGAATAGGCGTATATTATTTTTATAACTCTGTATTTTCACAGCCTTGTTTACACATAAAACGTAAACATTGATTTTCGTATTAAAGTTTTTAGGGTTTCGCTGTTAGACAAAAAATCTTTATAACTGCTCGTTCTATCAATCTTATCTAATGTTTCAGAGACAAACAAAATTTAGGTGTATAAATTCTTATGATATATATAGGTCTCAATTTTAAGATTAGAAAATATTGCAAACATGATTTCTTTTATACAACAATCTATCACTATTATGCTCCTGCTTTATTTGTCTATGAATTAATTATTTCAATTACTAGAAACTTTAAATTACTAAAGCTACCCAGGTACACAAACGTTATTGGACAACCACTAAAAAAAATTACGAACATAATATGTTATCAAATCATACAGACGTAACCACAATTCTTCCTTTATTGCTCTAGAAAAGAACATTCAATTGGTCCAGTTTTAAGGGAGGAAACAGAGGTATATAGAATGATTTTTTTTGCGCCCGAAGCAAATAAAGGGCTACCCTATACGTAGAGAGTAGGAAAATGCATTACGCATACCACGATAGCCGGTCTATCGTGGTTATGAGGGACTCACATCCTACCGGGGGAACCTAAGTGATACCCTCTAAAAACCGCCTTTAGGGACAGGCAACTGGCTGATTAAGCTTTATTGTGCCTTATCGTGAGCAATCCTCTTTTGGGAAAAGAGGGCGCAGGCGGCTACAAGCCGCTGAGGGAGTGCCTACGAAGGCAAATTAATTGTAAATAATAATTTAATTTAATTAGAGTTGGCCTGAGCCGCCAGGAGGCAGTTCAGGTCGTTTGATAGTTTATTAGGCGGGTCCGAGTGAGAGTTTCTCGGCCTGCGAACTCGATAGCGAGAGAGGGGGGTGGGGCTGCATAAGTAGCTGCCTCACGAATTAAATGGTTTGAGTGCGACTCTGAGGCTTTGAAGAAGTTCTCAGAGAGTTTTTTGAGAAATTGTTGAATTGTGGGGAGCTCTAGGTCCCGATGAAGGTCGGCATTACGGACGTACCAAGGTGCGTTCGCAGCTCGACGACAGAAAAGGTTTTGAACTATTTGGAGTTCATTAATAATTTTAGGGTCGGCGTGGGCAAAAACGGGGCCCGCGTAGGACATGACTGGTCGTATACAGACCTTATAAAGGGTACGCTTGTTTCTGAGGGACATTTTACTGTGTCGGCCCAACATACTGTTGAGCCTACTCAGGTAAAAACGTGCGTGACGGGTTACTCTTTTGACGTGGGGCCTGAAAGTGAGCCTTGTGTCTGGAGTGACACCTAAATATTTGGCAGTCGTATGCCAGGGGACAGGGGTCCCTAGCATACGTATTGGTGGTGTTTTTGAGACGGCGTCGTTTATAATCGAAGTGAACGGCGGAGCTCTTCTCCGGGTTCACATCGATGCGCCATTTTTTGAACCAAGCTCCTAGCTCGTCAACTGACTTTTGAATCTTGTTCCGTATGAAAGGTAGTGAGATAACCTTTGCAGTAGATAGCAGTGTCGTCTGCGAAGAGGGCGAGCTGAACACCTTTCGACAGGATGGGAATGTCGTTGGTGAACAGGATATACAGCAGAGGAGCAAGTACTGAGCCCTGAGGGACACCAGCTTTGATAGGGCGCTGTGAAGATAGCGTGCCTTCGTGTCTAAAACGAAAGGTACGATGTTAATAAGAGGCCACGAGGCGTACCAGACGATCGGGGAGTCCTATTTTGTACAGCTTGTAGATAAGGCCTGTATGCCAGACTCTATCGAAGGCTTTAGCTATGTCGAAAAAGACCGCGATGGTCTTATGACGACGAGGATAAAAACCGCTGAGGATATGTTCCACAATACGGTGGACTTGTTGGGGACATGAGTGTTGCGCTCGGAAACCGAATTGATGAGGAATGATAAGAGGGTCACCGTCTGTGGGAAACAGCGCCTCATACGAGTTTGGATGACTCTTTCGAAGAGCTTGCCCATTGCCTTGAGGAGGGGCGATTACTGGAGGGGAGGTTGAGAGGCTTGCCTGGCTTGGGAATACCAATCACAGTTGCCTCTTTCCACGTAGTGGGAAAGTAACTAAGGTTGAAGCAGGCGTTGTAGATAATAGATAAAAAGGTTAACACCTGCTCAGGAAAGTGTTTTAGAGCTTGGTTGGAGATGCCATCCGCGCCCGGAGCCTTTTTAGGCTTAAGTCCTTTGATGAGGGATGAAATCTCACCATTGGACACAGAGATAGGTTCGGAGGCTGAAGGGGGTGCTTTCCGGCGGCGGACCTCATCCTCCACTGCCTGGACGTGTGAGGGGTCGACGGGTTGAGAGCTAGGAGAGCATTGTGCGGCAATGCTATCTGCAAACACTCCGTACCGTCTACTAACCGTACCGTCGGGACGGGAGAGAGGGGGAGTGTGGGTGATAGCGTCTATGCGGAGGGCTCTAGCCATCTGATAGTACGCTGTATAAGATGGAGAGATATTCTCCATGAGTTTAATCTTTTCGAGGTCTCGAAATTCAGAGAGGCGGAAACGGAGTTCTCGTTGAAGACGATTGGCCGTGCGCCTATATTCGGGGGTGGGATATTTTGCTGCTCTCCGGAAGGCAACTTTTTTGGCTTTTAATAGGTTGCTAATATGTAGGGGAAGCCCACTATTGTTAGCAACCGGGACGACCCTTTCGTTCTCCTTAAGGGAGGATTTAATAAGGGTGGAGAGTGAATCGACCGCGGTGTCGATTTTTTCGGGACTGTCTAAGTCCGACGGTAGGGAGATGGTAGTGTCCTGTGAGTCCAGAGCTTTAGCTAGGGACTCCTTAAATCCCTTCCAATTAGTGAAGGTTTTCGTGTGTGTTGGGGGAGGTGGCTGATGGCCAATAATGAGGGAGACCGGTCGGTGATCGGATCCTAGATCGTCTAGTGTCTCGATTGCTCTGAGGTTGAGGAATACTCCTTGGAGTAACGCAAAATCGAGTACATCGGGGGCGTGATCGGTGTTATCGGGAAAGTGAGTAACACCGAGGGGACTATGGACGGTAATATCAAGAGACTGAGTGATATCGAGCAGTATCTTGCCACTAGGGGACGTAGTACGGCATGTCCATTCAGGATGCTTGGAGTTAAAATATCCAAACATAATGACTAAAGAATAATTGCCTAAAGATAAAATAGCCTCAAAATCTTTTTTGAGAGGATGGGTTCCTGAAGGGATGTAACAGGAGGCTATGAGGATGGACTGATGTCCAGTCATAGCTAGCCTGCATACCGTGGCTTCCACGTTGGTAAGCTGCGGAGTAGAAATGGGCGAGCAGTGAAGTGTCTTCTTGTAATAGATGGCCGTTCCGCCGCCTCGGCGGTCGGGTCTGTCATTACGAAGAAGAGAGAAGTTTTTAATAGAAAGGCCTTTAGTGTCCTTAGTTTTGAGATTAGTTTCCTGTAGGAGGAGCAAATCGGCTTCACGATTCCGAAGAAAGAGCTTAAGCTCTGGGAGGTTATTTCGCAAAACCGCGAATATTAAAGGATACAAGCGATAAACCCTTAGGTTTGATACGACCGTGAGACTTTGGTAGAACAAACTGTTCTGTCATTGAAGTTAAGTTAATTAAGTTAACTTAACTTACAACGAGCACTAAAGATTATGATGCTCTGTAAGAGCGAGGAGGCGGTCCTGAGGGGACCTCGCAGCGCGCAATTTGCGTGCTAACACCGCGATAACATCGAAGTTATAATAACTTCGATGTTCCTAATAGCGAAATAGATCGTTTTTAGGTCTTCAATAGTGGGTTGTGATTGTTGTTGTTGTGGGGCGGGGGTTTTCCGCGGTGGGTCTGCCTTATTGGGGCCCCAGGGAAAGACTGGAGGCTGCATAGGCTTGGAGAAGCCCGGAGGGGGGCCGAATAATGCCCTGAGGGGGCCTAGGGGGGACCCTGATGGGGCCTAGGGGGACCCTGAGGGGGCCGAGAGAAGCCCTGGATGGGCTGAGAAAGGCCCTGACGGGGCCGTTGATAGAGAGCCGGGAATGAGCGGTCATTGACCGGCGGTGGAGCTTGCCTACTGGGGCGAGGTTGAGGTGCGCAGGGGCAGCCTCTGTAGTTAGCCGGGTGGCCTGTTTGTTTACACAGGACACATGCGGGTGGGGATTCGGCGTCTTTGGGCCGAGGACACTCTTTGGTGTTGTGGGGTTCAAGGCACTTAACGCACCTGGGTGGGGCGGAGCAGTTGGCCGCCGCATGACCATATAGCTGGCAGCGGTGGCACTGTGCCGGGAATCCGCGCCTATGTGGGGGCTCAACTTTCACTCTCGACAGGCCACACACTGTGCGTACCTGCCGGAAGATGGCTTTTGCCTCCGGCACGTTGGTTAGGATGACAAGGGCTAGATTGAACCTCTTGCCCGTTCTACTGTGCATTTTGTGCACGGCTTCTACGGGGAAACCTTGGGACTTAAGGTCCTCAAGGATTTCCTCGTTAGAGAATTCAAAGGGGACGCCTCAGATGACGGCCCTGACTTTACGCTCTTCCGGAAGAGCGTACGTGTGATACGAAACTCGTTCGGCTGTGAATAGCCTGGTGAGTTGACGGAAGTCCTCGATCGAGTTGGGGATGATTTTGATAGCCTCCCCGAGGTTGATGGCATGGTCGTATTTGATGCCTGCGTCGTAACAGGTTTTCGACAGTTGTGTGAATCTTGCCTTGTCTCTTA